GGTAGGAGAATGATGGGTCTTGACCAAAATCGATTGTCAAAGAGGCAGATTTTAAGTTTTTAATGATAGAATTAAAAAGTTTTGAAAGAATCCGAGTGTACGGTTGTGAAGCACCTCAAGCTGGTGGAGCTGTTAGATGGACAAAGAACCATGAAGTAGACTAGAATAGAAGAACTGAAAGCATGGTGAGCGGCACACAGCTGGAAAAGGTAACAAGTGGACAAGTTCACTGCAGCTGAATTCCTACAGGTAAAATTTTAAAAGGGTAGCTTTCAACTTTGTAACTGCATTTATTTAGTTTGTTAAAGGCAAGATATTCCCAACTTAAGTGTATGGCTTTTTTCCAAAAACCACAAAGTGCATTTGTGTCACCTGTTCATTGTACCTGATACCTGAGTAGGCTTTTGAGCTACTAGACAGAAGGGTACTGGGATAAACTTTTTTGTCTTGAATGCCTTCTGATGGCTGTCCACTGCATGTTCCCTGGACGAAAATAGGGAATGTTGCTGGTAGCACATAGTCTGTGTCATAGAGTCAGATGTACAGGTTACTCGCCGAGCCGGTGTGTTTGATTGCAGATGTTTCGTCGCTCTACTAGGTGACATTGTCAGTGCGCCTCCGGTGAAGCGTTGGTGTTCTGTCCCACTTGTTGTTTATGTGCCTCGGTTTGTTGGAGTGGTTGGCATTACTTCCAGTTCTGTTTTTCAATGGTTTGAACTGGGCCCGATATACAATGTATTTGTTGATGGAGTTCTGGTTGGAATGCCAGGCCTCCAGGAATTCTCTGGCATGCTTGTTTGGCTTGTGCTATTTTAGATGTGTTGTCCCAGTCGAATTCATGTCCTCCTTTGTCTGTGTGTATTGAGACCAGTGAGAATTGGTTGTGTCTCTTGGTGGCTAATCGGTGTTCATGTATTCTTATTGTCAGTTTTATTTCAGTTCGGCCAATATAATGATTCTCTCCACCCTTGTGTGGTATTTTGTATATTATGTTAGTTTTATTTGTTTTGGGTATGGGATCTTTTTACATTTGTCAATAGCTGTCGCAGGGTGGTTGGTTTGTGGGCTACCCTGGTACCTAGGGGTCTGAGTAGTCTTGCGATCATCTCTGATATGTCTCTGTACAGTAGTGTGTCTTGATGTGGTCTGTCGCAGAGGTAATGGCGAATTGTGCTTTTTGGGTATCCAAAACAGTGTACAGCACAGTAACAGACCCTCAGTACAACTCATCCATGCCAACCAGATAACCTAAATTAATCCAGTCCCAGGTATTTGTATCGACTAGAATAAAAGCTCTTTAACCTTAGTCACCTGTACTGAGAGTAAACTGACCACAGACATGTAATCAGAGATAATAAGAACTGCTGATGCTGGAGTCAGAGATAACTATGAAGCTGGAGGAACACAGCAGGCCAGGCAGCATCAGGGGAGTAGGAAAGTTGACATTTTGACCTGAAACATCAGCTTTCCTGCTCCCCTGATGCTGCCTGGCCTGCTGTGTTCCTCCAGCTCTGCACTGTTATCACAGATATGTGATACTCACTATCTGAACATTTACTGTGTCATTGCGCAATCTGCACTGCATTTGCAAGCAATGTTTTTTTTCAGTTCTGTATACAAACCTGTCCTTGAATGTTGCCAAAACAAAACTCGTCAATCTAGACCTGATCGATCAAATATTGTACCTCAGTATATGGGGACAAACTCTGCAATATATTAAGCAATTCCCATACCTCGGTGACTACTTTTCTCAAAAAAGCCAGTATCAACTACGAGATCCAATACGGGATCAGCTGTGTTAGCTTAGCTTTCAATGAGCTGTGGCAGTGAGTGTTTAATAACAAATACCTCCCATGAGTCAACAAAAGATCTTGTGCTGAAAGCAATATCAACATCACGCTGGCTGCAGTAAGATCTGGGCAGTGTCGGTGACATGCGAGCATTAGAGAAACTCCAGCAAAGCATCTGCAGTGTTGTCTGTATTCAATAGGATGATCATTGAACAAATGTTACTGCCCTTTATTGAAGCAGCTGTACAAGATTCCGGCATAATGCCTGCAGAATCAACGCTAGTGGATTGGACTCTGTTTTTGAATGTCTGAAAAATGCCTTTCCTCACCAGATTCAATTTTCTGAAATGACCAGTATTCTAGGGGAGGGCAAAGCAAATCCTACAAAGACACTAAGTTCTCCTTGAAGCATAGCAGCATGGACCTTAATGTCTGGGAGAAACTTGCTACTGGTCATTCAACCTCAGAATATATAAACCAAGATGCAACACAGAGTCTAAATGCCTTAACCAAGAGGTGCAGCAACAGCAGAAAAAACCTTTCTGGACCATTGTGCCCTCCCACTCAAAGACATGGTTTGAGAATCATGTGAACCAATGGATTTGATGTATTTGGATTCAGAAAGCAATTTAAAAAGCCCTATATAGGTTTATTATGTAAAATCAAAGCACATGAGACTGTGGGTACATTGCTAGCACAGATTGAGAATTGATGAAAAGTCTGGAGGGAGAGTAGGAGTAAATTTTTTTTTGGGGGGTGCAAGGTGATGATTAGTGAGGTACTACAGTTCAGTGCTTGGACCCAGGCTTTGCACAATAGGTATTGGATGAGGGAATCAAATATGATATGTCCAAGTTTGCTGACGGCACACATCTGGATGGTATTGAGTGGTGAGGAGGATGTAAAGGGTGTTCGAGGTAATTTGGACAAATTGAGCGGGTTGGCAAATGTATGGCTGATGCAGTATAATGTGGGTAAAGGTGAGGTTGTCCACTTTTGGCGGCGGGAGGAGCAATGGTTTTGTATTACTTAAATGGTAATAACTTGGGAAATGTTGATGTACAAAGGTCATTGAAAACAAGCATGCAGGTGCAAGAAAGACTTAGCAGTATTGACCTTCATTAGAAGAGGATTTAAGTACCGGAGTAACAAAGTCTTATTGCAGCTATACTGGGCTTGGGTGAGACTGCACCAGGAATGTTGTGTGCTGCTTTGGTCTCCTTACCAAAGGAAATATATGGTTGCTATGGCAAGAATGCAGACTGATTCCTGAGATGGCAGGTTTGTGGTATGATGAAAGATTGGCTTGACTTGGCCTGTATTCATTGTTTAGAAGATTGAATGGGATCTCAGGTAATATTCTGATGGACCTGGACAGACAGAATGTTTCCCTGATGTGTGTTCACAACAGGCAGCTCTGTCCCAGGGCACAGGATATACCATTTTGGACTGAGATGGGAAATTTCTTTGCTGAACTTGTGCTGAACTTGTGCAGATTTCCATTGCAGAAGGCTATGGAGATGAAGTCTCTGAATGAATGTATTTAATAAAGAAACTAATTTCTGGATGCTAAATAAAAGTCTTGGGTATGGGGAGAGAGCAGAAGTATGTCATTAATGTTGCGAAGATTTGTGGCTCTGGCTGTGGATGAGGTTGTTGGCTTGCTCGCCGATCTGGCTACTTATCATACAAATGCTTCGTCACCATGCTAGGTAATATCATTAGTGCTGCCCCCGATGAAGCGATGATGTTCTACTCCGCTTGGTATTTGTATGATCCAGTCTGTTAAGTTGGTTTGTCATTTCTGTTTCTGTTTTGCATGGGTTTGTATATGGGGTCTAATTCCACATGTTTGTTGATTGTATTATGGGTTGAAAACTAGGCCCCTGGGAATTCCTGTGCATGTCTGTGGTTGGCTTGAGCTAGGATGGTCACATTGTCCCAGTTAAATTGATGGCCTTCATTGTCTGAGTGCACTGAGATGAGGGAAAGCTTGTTGTCGTTTTTGCTGCTAGCTGGCGTTTGTGTACCCTGATGGCTAGTTTCCTTCTGGTCTGGCCAGTGTAATGTTTGTTGCAGTCATTGCAAGGCATTTTGTAAACTGTGTTGGTCCTGCATGTCATGGGTGGTGGGGTCGTTGGTCCTTGTGATTGGAAAGCATCCTCAAAACGAATGGATGGTTGAAGCCTAGAAAATAGGAACAGGAGTAGGCTGTTTGGCCCTTCGAGCCTGCTCTGCCATTCGGTATGATAGCTGGTCATCCTGTTCCCACTTTCTTCCCATATCCTTTTGATCCTTTTAGTCCTAAGAACTGTACCCATGCCCTCCTTGAATATGGTGCTTGGCCCATTGGATTGGAACTATTTATCCTAATAAGGATTAAATACAGAATGACAGAGCAGTTACCTTCGAAGTAGCATCTGTTAGATTTTATCAGAATTGATTTGGACGGGTGAATTTTTTTGAGAAGACTAATTTATTTCAAAATATTTACATTTTCACTGATCTCCCCAGCCTAGTATGATTTCCTTTTCTGTGAGCATTCTCGCTAAACTGGACAATGCTGTACTCCCCTTTTTGCATTAGCATGAGTTCAGTAACCCTACAGTAATGAGTCAATATTTGTACTGTACTGTACTGATTAATAGTGTATAAACTTAGAGGCACGAGTTTGCTTTTGGCTAAATAGTTTTATGTGGAATTGATGTGTCTAATACTTCCAGTTTGAGTAACCCAGCTGCATGGTTAATGAATTGTCTCTTATGCATGTAAGTAAACTCTCGTCTATTATTGAGCTGTTGTCACCCAGATGCATCAGTGTTTCTCTCAAGACAGTAGACTTGCTCAAATATATGTATATTTAAGACTAAATGCTACTGTTTTCTCTCAAAGAATTGTAGCTGGATACATATGGTTTGGCAGGTTTGAATGTAAAAAGCGCACATTTGTGTCATTCTTGTATTTTCTTTCTTGCAGTCAAAGGGAGTAAGAACAACTTTGCAACTAGTGATCTCCATCGATGTCAACTTTGAAGACTTATTATTTGACTACTTTGGAATATCTCGTTATTTAGTTCAGAATTTGAAAAGTTTGGCTTGGATACTTAATGTAACAAATATTTCACAACTTATTCATTCAGAATTTAGATTTTGTAATGTGCATAAAATCCTTGCTTTGGTCAACCATCAGTGTTTTCCTTCTTTCCTGTAGTTAACAAGCACAAGCCATGGATAGAAACTACATATCATGGCATTGTTACAGAAAATGATATCTCAGTTTTGCTGGATCCTCCATTAATTGCCTTGGATAAAGATGCACCTCTACGTTATGCAGGTATGTAAATGGATCTCAGATATTTTCCTTGAATCAAAATTCTGAATCGCATAAATATGCCACAAAAATAATTTTATTACAGAGTTGGAATTTAAATCTTCTAAAATCTACTTCAATAAACGTAATTATAAATCATAGAATCATAGAATCCCTACAACGTGGAAACAGGCCCTTTAGCCCAACAAGCCCACACTGAACCCTGGAGCATCCCACCCAGACCCATCTCCCTGTAACCCACCTAATCCACTCATCCCTGAACAATATGGGCAATTTAGCATTGCCAATCCACCTAGCCTGCACATCTTTGGAATGTGGGAGGAAACAGGAGTTCCTGGAAGAAACCCACGCAGACATGGGGAGAATGTGCAAACTCCACACAGTCAGTCACCGAGGGTTGAATCGGACCCGGGACCCTGGCGCTTTGAGGCAGCAGTGCTAACCACTGAGCTGACGTGCTGCCCAAGTCTCTCTGAACTTGATTTAACAATATTACTTCAGGTTTTAATGCTGCATGCAATGGATTTCTTCACCAACTTTGCCATATTTTTTCTTTTGTTTGTAAAATTGCATGATTCGGTTAAATGAATTGTTGACCTAAAATAGCTAACCATAGTTCAGTCTTATTCAGGATTTTTGCATTATACTGCCATGGATATGGAGCTCAATATAGTAATTGTAAGTTCTAAGCGCTGCACACCACCACTCGTCTTGTACGTAGCACTCAAACTACAAAACCCTTTGTTATAACCTCTGTCTCTACTGTATGCAGTATAAAAATAAATTTAGGATATAAGTTTTCTATATAGCAAGAAAGCAAAATAGTGTGGAAACTGAAGGCCTGAAATCAAAAAATACAAAACAAAAATCAAAGTTGGGAGGTAAATATTCATGTATATGTAACTTTTGAAAGTGCAGACAAGAAGCAAAGGGTAGTGGAGTTAGCTTTGCTAGTACAGGATAGAATAAGCATGATATCAAGAATGGAAAGGAAAAGAAAGGTCAAAGTGAACATGGATTCTTAGAAAATAATCTGGGGAAACAATGGGAAATCAGGAAATGGCAGAGGAGTTGAAAAGATATTTTCCGTCAGTCTTCACAATAGAGGACACCAATAATAGTCCAAAAATACTAAATCATCAAGGGGGTCTGAGGTAAGGAAGGTAATAACCACAATAAGAATCTCTAGACAAAATGTATTAGGGAACCAAATAGACTTCAAGACTGAGGCCTCCTTGACCTAATGGGCTGCATCCTAGGATTTTTTAAAAAGTAGCTAGAGATAGTTGATGCACTGTTAACAGCCTTGCAAGAATTCTTCGACTGGGGAGGGGGATGGGAAAACTGCCAATGTAATGCATTCTTTGATAAAGGAAGGGAGACAAAAAAAGACAGTAACTATAGGCAAGTTACTTAACATCTGTTATTGGGGAAAATGCTCAAGCCTATTATAAAGGATGCAATTAATGGCAGAGCATTTAGAAATACATAGAGTAAGAGTCAGTAAGGTTTCAAGAACGGGAGATCATGCTTGACAAAATCTATTAGAAGCCTATTAAGGAGGTAACAAGCAGGATGGGTAAAGAGGAACTGGTAGATAAAATATATTTGGATTTTTAAAAAGTATAAATAGCATATAAGGCTACTTAAGGTGAAGCTCATGGCTTTGGCGGTAGTATATTATCATGGGATAACAGATTGGCTAACTAGTAGAAGACCAGTAGGATAACAGGGCATTTTCAGGATAGCCTGTAACTATTAGAGTGCCACAGAGAGCACTGGGGCCACAATTATTTATAATATATCCTAATGATTTGTGCAGCAGACATTAATTTACTATTGTCCAGTTTGAAGATGACAGAAATCAGTTGGAAGACTAATGGGATGCCACAAAGAATCTGCGAAGGGATATATACAGGTTAAGTGAATGGGCAAAAGTTTGACAGATGGAATGTAATGTGGGAAAATGTTAGGTTCAACTTTGGCAGGAAGAATAGGAGAGCTGATTATTGAAACGAATGGTAAAGATACAGAAAGCAGCCACACTGGGATTTGTGTATTGTGCATGAATCACAAGCTAGCGTACAAGTTCATCTGATAATAGTGAAGGCAAATGGAATGTTGGCCTTTATTTCAAAGGGAATGGAGTATAAAAATAAGGAGGTTAAGGAGGTCTTGCTAAAAATACAAGGCACTAGTCATCAGTCGGAATACTGTGAATAGTTTTGGGCTCCTTATCCAAGGAAAGATATACTGGCATTGGAGGCAGTGCAGAGAAGGTTCACTAAATTGATCCAAGTATGGAGGGATTTTCTTATGAGAGCTTGAGTAAACTGGGTTTATGCTCTCTCACTGGAGCTTAATATTGAGAGGAGACAGTATTGAAACAAGATTCTTAGGGAGTTTGACAGGGTAGATGGAGAGAGGTTGCTTTACCTTCTGGGGGAGTCTCGAGCCAGATGGCATAATCTGAGTGAGGGGTTGTCCATTTAAGACAGATGAGGAGTTTCTTCTGTGGGAAGTCATTGTGGAATTCTTTATCAGAGGGCTGTCAAGGCTCTGTTAAGGAGATTCAAGGCTGAAATAGTAAGGAATGAAAGGTTATGATAAAGCAAGGGAAGTGAATTTGAGGATAATCAGATCAGCTGATATTTCTTTAAATGGCAAAGAAGACTTGATAGGTTGAATGGCATACTTCTCCTTCATGTTATGCTCCAATGAACAGGTTTGACAGCATTTGTGAAGAGCCAGAGTTAATGCGTCAAGCCTGTGATATTTTCATCAAAATAACAAGTACTGCTGTCCCAACATCAGTGCAATGTTTAATGAAGTCGATTAAAGACATATTTGAAAATAGATTGTGATTGACATTAAGATTATGTAAGGCATCAAACCTTTGCATAAAGTGAATCCATAGAGGTAACCAACTTTTAACTGAAGTGTTTGCTACACTCAAAGCACTTCAATGGCTGGCTGTTTTTGTTTGGGTTGTCCACTAGTACTTATGTCATTGAAAGATGTTGATTGCATGACCTTTTTCTTTCCCCTTCATCCCCCTGACCCTGTCTAAAGTGGCAGCTGATTGAAGGCAAAGCCACTTTGAGCATCAACTAAAGCAGAGCCGTCTCTGCAGGTCACTTCTGGGGATATCAATGTCTGTACAGCAAGAATGTAACTCGGCATCTGGGAACATTGTGGACAGTGGTAGTGTCCTACTGCTGGACCAGAAGCCCTCGGTTCAAGTGTCACCTGTCTTAGAGGTGTCAAGTCAATTAAAAATATTTAAAACTTGGCATATTCTACATATTTGGCATTACTCTACATTTAGCAGTACAGATGGATGAATGTTTTTATTTTTCCACAAACAGGTCATGAAATAATATAAAAGAAATTGCATTTTTGAAAATACCTGCTTAGCCTACATGCAATATGCCCTGGGTTACATGATATTTTGATTTTTGTTTTCTTGAGTCATACAGATGCAATTGTCTTTTAAAACTCTCCACTGATTCAAGTCATACCTGACACAAAAGAAGATGGGGTAGTTGTTGGAGCTTAAGCATCTCAGTCTAAGAACACCAGTTAATGAGTTCCTCGGATGTATCCTAAGCCTAGCCCACTTCAGTTGCTTCACCAATGACCTTCCCTCCATCATTGGGTCTGAGGTACAATCAGCTAGTATTGAACTGGACCAGCCCCGCATACCATGCCTCCAAGAGCAGGCCAGATGCTAGGAATGTACATAATAACTTAGCACCTTCCCAGTGTCTGTCCATTATCTAAAAGATACAAATCAGGAATGTGATGATGTACTCTTGCCTTGCTTGTTTGGGTGTAGTTCTAGTTACACTTCTGAAGTTTGACACCATCCAGAACAAAGCATCCTACTTGACTGGCACCATGTCCACCATCTTCAAATTCACTCACTCTGTTGACTTTGGCTGAACAGTAGCAGTAGTGTGTGTACCACGTTCCACTTGCACTCCAGTAACGCACCAAGGGATCCTTCAAAAACACCTTCCAAACCACCTTTGTTCCTTTCTTTCATGTGAAATGTATGCAACCTCAATGTGTTGAATTTGCAACATTTCCCCTCTAACTTGTGATTGGGTACTCCCACTCAGCACTCGTGAGTTGAGATTTTTGGGGAGAACTTAAAATACAATTTACAAAATAAATATCATCTGCTGTTTTCTAGGTTTATCTCCATTTTGGAAACATTAAACATTTGCATTGATCATATCTTAAGCACTGTTCACATTCACTGATAATCTGGAGCTTTAGTTTACTTTTATCAGCTGCTCCATAAGCTTACTCTTGATTCAACCAGTAATTTTATACTTAAACCAATCTGTATTTTGTATATCACCATCCTCACTCAGTTTTTTGCATTTTTACCAAATAAAATAACAGCTCAAACACATTGCAAGACAGATGGTCTAACATCCCAACAGTTGTGTAGCATTTCAGTAAATGAAAGGCATTAATCCTTTTGATCTGCACCATCTAATTGATTGGCCTGCTAATTAATTAATGCAAGTAACTGCAGGGTTCCTGATGAATGATGAGTCATATGTTCTGCCTCAACTTTAGGAATGAGGGTAAAGAAATAAGGAGAAAAGCTTTTGAAAATCAAAATGCCTTTTTGAAATACCTCCACAGTCTACCAATTGAAAGTATGATCTTTAATTTTCACACAAACACGTGTGTGTGGCATGAAAAGTAAAGTTACTCAGCTTTGTTATGCAATATGCCTTTGAAAGACGCTGCTGTTTAATTTAAATTCAGAAAGGATCAGCCTGGTCTCTAGACCAAGGCCACTACCTGTAGTCTGAGTCTTGAGCTGCTATCGTGTTTGGATTTCCTTTGTTATCAGCCAGTCTAATTTTTTTTTTCCTCATCAAGCTAGGATCTCTGAAACATTTCCACTTCTCTCTTTGATCTGACAACATACTACCCCTGCCTCAGTCATGCATGAAGCACATAATTGGCATTTGTCATTCATTGCTACTTCACTGCACGTTTTCCTATTGCTTTTAGCAGAATTGATCCTCACCTTTTGTCAACTTTCTCTTTCCTATTCAAGGATCCTTTCCAAGTGTCCCGCTGTCAAAATTTCTGATTTTTCTTATTGATCATTTGCCAATTCTTCTACTTTTCTGCTGTTTCTTCGGTGATTACAACTTGCCTGGGCCAGCACTATGTTTGCCTCGGCAACATCCACCATATCCATTATAGCTCTTGCTGCAACCTTTTCAAAATCGGTAACCTATTTAGTCTCATTGTGCACCTTGCCGTTTGCTATTCCTTCTTATTCCACCTAAATCCTACCTGTCGCCTCTGAATTCCACAGCTACTTCTCAAATTAAATCCCCCACTGTCCTCCTCAGGTACTGGGTGGTGAGGCATAGAATGGTTCTTATTGGAACAATTTTGAGGGGAAGAAACTTCAAGACTAGAACATAAAATGGAAACTCACACCTTGGTTACCATTTTTAAAAAAAAAAAAAAATCTCTGGGATAGAGGTGTACTTTTTTTTTGGAAGAACCACACGAGGACCTCTGGTGTGTCCTAAGCCCAGCCATCTTCAGCTGCTTCATCAGTGACCTTCCCTCCATCATTGGGTCTGAGGTACAGTCAGCTGATGCTGAACTAGACCAGCCCCACATACTATGCCTCCAAGAGCAGACCTGATGCTAGGAATGTCTGCTGCCAGCCAGATTGAATGCTTTGGGTGGGTAGTGACATGGCTTCTGGTTATAGGTTTTGATTAATCTGGGACAGGGGAAAAACTCACACTCACACCCAAGCAGTGCTGTAAAGATATGTGCCTGCCCTGCACTTCAAATCTCCCTTCAGCTGCAGGTTTCCTGAACTTTAGAACCCCCTCCGACTTCTCCGTTAAAATTAAAATTGCAAAACAGATGGAAATAGTGGCTAATTACTCTTTATATTTTGGTCCCATCTCTGGACCGGTTTTGGTGGTGGTTGAGTTTTTGAAACTTCGTGGCAACTCCTTTTCTGAATTATTCTGTGGATATTGACTGTTTTCATTGAAAAATAATGGATGTTTAATGAGAGATATAAAATGCAATTTTAAAATTTATCTCGAGTACTTATTGTATTGCTTCTAATGGCATCAATTGAGAAATAATTTTTATGCTTCTGGAAAGGAATGAGCAAAGTTTCAAATGGAAGCCATTTTAAATTTAATGTTCTGTTTTTTTTATACGAGTTATTTATGCAGCATCATATAACCCTGTACTGCACAGAACTGCAAGATTAAGAAATGTTCATAGATGACATTGAATACTTGCTGGAAAGATCAGATTGAAATGTAGCTGTAAAAGTATCAGTGTTAATAACGTTCAAGTTTTGCTTTTTACCTTGCTGAAATACAGTCAATTTGAGGTAAAGATTTTGCACTGTTTTATGCAATTTATACATGATGCAGTGTATGTGGCAAAAGTAATAATCTTGACTGTTTTCTTCTCAACTTTGGAAGATAATGTAATATGGAGAAGATATTACTTTCCAATGCGTTTCTAAGTTCTGAATCATGTTAGATAATTTGTCATTTTTTTCACGTAAAGTGTCTTTAGAGTACCTGCAACAGCTAAGGTTAGTGTGTTTTTCAAAAGCTTATTGCTTTCAATATTTTTTTAAGATGACCTTTGTAAACTGGGAATTCCAGTGCTGATTCATGCAAGATTTTTGAACTGTCTATTTAGAGGACCTGTGAATTTAATTTTAAAAATTGCTATGATTCAAGCAGGAATGAGCTTGTCAGTTGCTTTGTATTTGCATTTATCCTTTGACTTAGTCCCCATCTTCGCCCTTTTAATTTCTTATCTTGATGACTGATCTCTGTTTATCTTTTCTTCCCCTTATAGAGAGGTTTGAGGTGACATTCACCGAAGAAGGTGATACCTGGGTTCTTTCTTTCATTCATCATGAACAATTCTATTAACTCACTAACTCTGGTCATAAAATGGGGAATCAGCACTTGAACAGCAAATCCTGTCATCAGTTTTATTCCCCATTATTATCCAGGTTTATCTGCAAAAATTACTGGATGCAGCGTTTAATTTTAAAGGGTTTGTTAGAAATATCAGTTGTTTCTATTTTTCTCTTTTTAAGGAGATTCTGTTTAACCTAAACCCTCTTTGACCAGAGTATAAATTTTTCAACACATTTCTTAAACAAATTACTCTTATGCTAGCCCTTTGGTGACACCTTTCAGCATGCATGCAAGGCAATATTTTTATTAGTAAAAATGTTCAGAACTACATGAAGATGAGCAGGAAATTCTGATGCCCAGGTCATTATTCATTCAACTGACAGAGTTGAATGAATAATGGCCAGGGCATCAGAATTCATTCACTTGGTATTTGTGCAGAAATTGAATTCCACATTTGCCCCTCTGTTTTTCAAAGTAATCCATTATATCAAATGCTTTAGGATGTAGCATGACTGGTGATAAAAGGTGTCTTTGCAGTGTGGCGAGGGAACAGGAATGCAAGAAAGACCAGGTCTCTAATCTGTACTTTGGTTCATTTATCCCTGCTGTGTAATGATGTCGTCGCTCAATTATATTTGGTTTACGCTTCTGTACAAAGCCACAGGAGATAAGTAGCTTGAGGAAGGAATAGATTAAGTAAATGGTTGAACTATTAAATGAGGCCAGGTTATTTTTTATTTTGCTCACTACTGCTTATCTTGGACCAGGTGATTGGAATGTTATCAAAGACCAACTAAAGTGGGAAAATCAATTGGCATCCTGTTACTGATTTGATTTTTTTTTTAAATCCTAGTTGGAAGTGTGCATATCTGGACATTGTTTAAAGACTAGATTAGGTTTGCATTGAAGTTCATTAGCCAATGCTAGGGGACTATGGTCAAATAATAGCAATGCTTTATACTCCCAGAAGAGTGGATGCTTTCAGAAGAGGAAGTGAGAAGCATGATATAAATTGACTAAAATATAATGCAGAATTTTATCATCGGTGTTTAACAAGAGGCTGTTTCTACAGGAATTTCCAGAAGTCTAGCTGTTAATTTCAATGGACAGTCTCCTGTAGTTTTTTGATTTTAGAGCCCGTACACGAGTGCTGTGAAATCATACTTCTCCTCATCATGGTCTCTGGTTTACCAACTTCACAGAATTTGAGTCCGTCATCCAGTTTTTTTTTTTTTTTGCAATATTCTCTTTCCAATTTTGCCCACCATTTGTGGAAAATGTTGGCTGGAAGGTTGATGTCTGCCCTTTCTCAAATACTGAATTTGAGAGAGAATTTATGGTCCTGTATTTGGCTATATTCTAATTTCCTAAAATACTTTCAAGAAAATTGCCTTTTCAGATCAGTTGGAGTTAACACTAACTGTTTTGAATCCAGTGATGTATTAGATAAGTTGGCTGTTTCAGACTCAATCCTTTGCAACTTTTCAAAAGGGTTGGTGCATTTGTTGAAATGAGCGCAACACATTCTAGGTATTCATTTTCTGGAATTGGATATCAAACTGATATTTCTAATACTGAATTGCCATCCAGTGGTTTGTTCTTAGTCTCCCAATTGTGGACAGATACATTGCACAGGAAGACTTAATGTCATTGAAAAGTAATGAGTTTTGACAGTATTTGTGAGACTGTGCTGAACCTATATCAAATGCTTGTACATCTCCGACTTAACTTTGCTCTTTAACTTTTTGTCTTGATCAGAATAGGCAGCCAAGCTTTGTCCAGTAGCTTGGTATAGAAGATGCCAACAGTCATGGCTGTATGTTACAAGTTATTGCTGTCTAAGTACTCCTGTGAAATGCCTGTCTCTTTCTCTCTCCCTCTCTCTGTGTCTCTTCTCCTGCATGAATGGATGCAATGTAAACCAGTGGCTTGGAAGGCAGGCATATGCTCCTTTTACTAAGTCCCAGAACTCACCCAAACAAGGCACAGGCTTTGCTTTTTCCACAGACCCTCACAATAAAAACAATCCCTGGCTGTGAAGTTTGGACTGCTGTTGCACATTAACTTTTTTTTTTGTTAATTTAATGCATAATTGTTCCAGCTCTAACTTGCCATTTGTTAAACCCTAGGTGAGATTTGTGGATTTAGAATTCATGGACAGAATGTGCCATTTGAAGCTGTGGTGGTTGATAAAACCACAGGTGAAGGTGTCATACGTTCAAAAGAGAAGATGGACTGCGAGTTGCAGAAAGAGTATACCTTTACTATCCAGGCATATGACTGTGGTGAGGATCCAGATGGGGGAAATATGAAGAAGTCCCATAAGTAAGTGTGCACTGAGAGGTGGAGAATAATGTGGAAGCATTGATTTATTTTCTAATCGTTTTGGTTGGATCATAGCAAGTAATGAGTCGGTGTAAAACCAGTGTTCCTAATTGCTTGTCAGCATGGGATATCAAAGGTAAAGGTGAATGCTTGCTCACTTTTGAAAGGCTCTGTTTGGCCTGGTTGCGCGCACAAGGTTCATAGTTGAAGCACTTATCTCCTGATTTTATAACCTCCAGGTTGTTTTTGTTATTAGGCTCCCATTTCCATTCCTAACGGTGGCTGAATGGATGTAGCAAGACCATAGATATAGGAACAGAATTGGACCATTCGGCACATCGAGTCTGCTCCACCGTTTGATCGTGGCTGATGTTTCTCAACCCCATCCTCCTGCCCTATCCCTGAAACCCATGATCTCCTTACTAAGGAAGAATCTATCTGTCTTAAATGCATTCAGTGACTTAGCTTCCACAGTGCTTTGCTGCAATCAGTTCCACAGATTCACCAGAAGAATTGAAAAAATTCCTGCTTATCTCAGTTCTAAAAGGTTGTCCCTTCTCTCATGCTGTGTCCTCAGATCCTGGTCTGTCCCATCATCTCCAAGTCCAATCTATCCAGGCCTGTCAGTATTCTGTAAGTTTAGTGAGATCCCCACTATCCTTCTAAACCCCATCGAATACAGACCCAGAGTCCCCAACTGCTGCTCCTATGATAAGCCCTTCATCCCCGGTATTGTTATTGTGAACCTCCTCTAGACCCCTCCAAAGCCAGCACCTCCTTTTTTAGATACGAAGTCCAAAACTGCTCACGGTATTCTAAATGAGGCCTGACCAGAGTCCTGTACTGCCTCAGCATATATATCTCTGCTGTTGTATCCTAGTTCTCTCAAAACAAATGCTAACATTGCATTTGCCTTCCTAACTGCTAACTGAATCTGCATACTAACTTTAAGAGAATCGTGAACTAGGATTCCAAGATCCCCGTGTTTCGGATTTCTACAGTCTTGCCCTGATAGAAAGTAGCCTACAGCACTTCTTCCTACGAAAATGCATAACCCCACACTTTGCCACGTTGTATTCCTTCATCATCTGCTTCTTTGCCCACTCTCCTAGCCTGTCCAAGACCTTCTGCAGCCTTTCTGCTTCCCCAACATATGCTACCTGTTCCTCCATCTATCTTTTATCTGCAAACTTAGCAACAGTGTTCTTGGTTCCTTCATGCAAATGGGTTGTTTCTTCATAATGTGACGAGTAATATTTGCAGTTTTAGCCTCCGCTGCAGACAGAGCAGTAAAGAATTTTTTTCACCTTGAAGGATTGTTCTGTTGTGCAAAAGTCACTAGTTGTCTATCGATAAAGAATTGAGATTTTGCTGTGCAGTTTTTGAGCAGTTTTGAGATCAGTTTAAATTCATGAGCAAAATGCTGCAGGATTAGAAGTTCTGCTATCATTGTACAAATCCTACAAGATGCAGAGATTCCTGATTTTCTGTCATGTTTACTTGTCTGAAATATCCTTTTAACAGTGGTGAAGATTAAGATGTTACAAGCAGCAAGTTTTAAAATTAGAATTTCTCTATGGCATTCAAATATTACTGTTGGGGAGTGGGGTGTATTAAACTAGAACTGTTCAGGCTTTTTTTTTGTAACTGCAAGAAAAGTTTTCCATTGCTTTAAGCTACGAGAGGAATAGCTCTTGTGCTACTGGTGAAAGGAACTCTAATCACATCTTTCATCAAGTTCAAATACACTTGGCCCCCAGGGCACCTAATTCAGATAAAATGACTTTAAGATTTGTTTCAAAAGAAATCATATTACAAGTCTAAGCAACGATATGGATATGAAAGCATTTTGTTTCAACTGAGATTTTTAGTTATTTCCTTCATCCCTTTTTTAAAAATGTAGTTCTGGGTCCCAACATGTACGACGTCCAACAATTAATTTGATGTCACTGGCTGTTCCTGCATCATTTGCTGTAAGTTGCCCTGCTGATTTCCAGAGCCAATTCCCAACTTATTTTTTATATCTAACAAAAAATGTGGATCATGACAAATGAGCCATGGAGCTCAGGTTATTACAGTTCTACTTTAATCACTCAATTATGAGCACTGATCAAAAATGAATGGAAAGGTCAGTCGAACAATGGAAGAAAACCCTGTCTGGCAGACTATTTCATAAATGTTTGTACTTCCAGTTGGGCATTCTTGATTATCTTTCCTCTTCAGTTCATCCCAGTTACTTCACTGGTATGAAAATTAGATTAAGGAAGACTTCACAATTTTCATCTGCTGGCTGTCTTTAGTCAGAGTCCAACTTGTCCGCACCAACCAGACATCCCAATCGGACGTAGTCCCATTCGCCTGCATTTGGACCATATCACTGTAAACCCTTCCTATTCATATACCCATCCAGATGCCTTTTAAATGTTGTAATTGTACCCTGTCCATCACTCTGTCTGGCAGCTCATTCCATGCGCATACCACCATCTGTGTGAAAAAGTTGCCCCTTGGGTCCCTTCTAAATCTTTGCCCTCTCACCTTAAGCCTATGTCTTCTGGTTTTGGACTGCTCCATCCTAGGAAAAAAAGACCTTGGCTATTCACCCTAAACATGCCCTTCATGACTTTTTTTAAACCCTCTGTCATCCCTCAGCCTCTGCTCCAGGGAAAACAGCCCCAGCCTATTCAGCCAGTCCCAATAGCTCAAACGCTTTAGTTGTGGCAACATCCTTAAATATTTTCTGCACCCTCAAGTTTGACAACATCTTTCCTATGTTATAGAATGGTGATCATAATTATACACAGTATCCTGAAAGTGCACTCATCAATGTCCTTTACAGCTGCAACTTAAAATCTCAACTCCTATACTCTATGATTTGACCAATGAAAGCAGGCATGCCAAACGCCGCCTTCGCCACCTATCTACCTGTGTCTTCACTTTCAAGGAACTGTGCACATGCACCCCTAGGTCTCTTTGGCAGCACTCCGCAGGGTCCTACCTTTAACAGTAAAAGCCCTGCTCTGGTTTGCCTGACCAAAATGCAACACCTCCCATTGATCTAAATTAAACTCTATCTGGTCAAGGTCCCATTGTACTCTGAGATTATCATCCTCACTGTCCACTTGGCCACCTATTTTGGTGTTATCTGCAACCTTACTAACCATATCTCCTATATTTGCATCCAAATCATTTATGTAAATGACGAGAAGTAGTGGACCCAGCACCGATCCTTGTGACACACTGCTGGTCACAGGCATCCAGTCCAAAAAGCAACCCTCTACGACCCTGTCTCACCAACCTTCAAGACTTTCTTTGAAGAATTGGAATGTCTATCTGCAATAAATACCTTGACTTGGATTGGTCCCATCTAGATTCTGCAAATTAAATAATGCTCACCCTTCAGTTTTGTATCACCATATTACCATTTCTCTTTTGACAAATCTTAATTGTGCTGGACACCTGAACAGAGCTTGCTGAAGTGGACATTTTTTGTTTACACTTTGAAAGTGAATGCTGTCTATCCACTGAGAGGTGTCAGAGCCTGTTTTGTGTCCTCGTTTGGCAGGGACCTTTCTAGTATTTATTATTTTTGATAATGATGAAGCGAATGCTCTGCCCCTGTCTTTTTTTTAAATCCTCTTGTTGCCTGTACCGTAACCCTCATCAAACTATGCTGTCCTACGTTGGCTCTCAGTTTAGTGATATTTTGGTGTTTTTAAAAATCTGAATTTTGTATTCAGATTGCTCTCTAACCTTCCTGCCTTGATCTGTCTTCCAGCTTCTCCAATTTCCTGGATTTAAGCATTCCTTGAATGGTGACTTGTGCATCTGATTTCCTTCATCCATTGACTACATAGTGCTTAAACTTTGGAATTATTTAACCTTTTTGACTTTAGCTGTTATTTCCTTTACAATTTATTCCTTTAATACCTGTCACCTGGTCCAAAAATATTTGTAGTATTTGTGTGGCTGGTAATCAGTTTTGTCTGCTGTGGAGAAATGACGATGCTACTGTGAGGGAGCTCGGGATGCTTTACTATGTTAAAGGTACTATTCAAATAAATACTGGAGATCAACTGTAGCAGCTTTATCGCTGACCTAGCTATGACTGGCTAGTTCGGTACTTGTTCTGGGTTGAATTTGGGTCTTTTGTGGGCTATTTGATTTGGCTATTAACTGATTGAATACGTGAGTTATCAGGGAGTTTTTAAAAAAGGTTTTTTTAAAATGTGCTTCTAATTCCTAAGCATTACCTCTGCTTTACAGGGCCAATGTTCATATCCAAGTGAACGACATAAATGAGTATGCCCCAGTTTTCAAAGAGAAGTCTTACAAAGCCACAATAATTGAAGGAAAGAAGTATGACAGCATCTTGAGAGTGGAAGCAATTGATGCAGACTGTTCATCGCAGTTCAGCCAGATCTGCAGTTATGAAATTGTCACTCCTGATGTGCCATTCACTGTTGATAAAGACGGTAAGTGATGAACCATATGGGTATGCACTTCAAACAAAAGACGTGAAATTTTGGATTTCTAATGTTGAATTTTAAAATTTAACAAAACGATTCCGTTTTGAGTAAAATATTTCCAAAGTCAGATGTTGAGTTCATTTTTTTTCTCTGTGGGATCATCTAGATCATTGTACAAACAGCAGGCCAAGGCATTAGGACAAAGATTCTAGATTATCCAATAAATGACGATTCTAGATTCCTTACTTACTAGCCTGGCCTGTAGGAATTGTCACCATGTTGGTGGGTTAATCTTAAATCAGAGTATCAAAATCCATTAGAATCACAAATATTTTAAAAAACCAAATGTTATTGAGTCCCCTGCTGTGCATAGAGACACAGATCACAAAGATGAAGTCATTGAACATACCTGATCTGAACTATAAAATCTGATATAGTTGTAATGCCACTAATCATTTCAACATAGTGAAAGCCATCGTTTTTTATCCGAAAGAGTTCATGATTAATGGTTTCTCAGTGTTTGCAATCCTAACTTGTATACCTGTGGATTGCATCTTGTGTTCCCATTATAAATAGAAACTAATGCAAGAGGATTATTCTTTAACAGTTATCAATTTTTTTTTAACCTTTTGAGTCTTCCATTATTTTTTCCACCTCTTCTATTAAAGATCCTTGTTATTGTTCAAAGGCTGCTGCAATCCTCAAATACTGAGCCCAACTCGCTGTTTTTCACTGATAATTCAAGAAAATGGATGTTAAGCCTTTTAGCCATAGAATGTATAGTTCACATCATCCCTGACATTGTCTCACCTGAATTCTCCAATGAGAGTTCAGGGCTAGTGATGAAAAATGAGTTCTGATTTTCTTTTTCCCTTTCTTTCACGTCATAGTAATAAATGGCTGGTGACTTAAACAGGGAAAACCCCACCCTTTTAAAGCTGTCTTTTTTTAATGATGAAGTAACCAATATGTAGGCTATTTCATTCGATCTTTGTCCCCAGTTTTTGTTCATTTGCTGTGCTACTAAAGAACAATATGGAATCTGTGTTTGCAAGATTAGCACCATCTGTGCATTTGACTGTTGAGGACTAATGTGTTGTAAACTGGTGATTTTTGTAGGGTATATTAAGAATTCTGAGAAAATAAACTACAACAAAGACAGGCAGTACAAACTTGCAGTAACGGCTTATGACTGTGGGAAGAAGCGTTCGACAGAAGATGTTCTTGTTAAGATCAACATTAAACCCTCGTGCAAACCTGGCTGGCAAGGTAATATAATTAACATGAAATTCTAAAATAATTGGCTGTTGTTTAATGTTACAAAGGAGTAAATTATTAAACATCTGTGCTTTTAAGATCCAAGCTAAACCTTTCTATCTGAATTAGTACTGACCGATTAATTAAGAAATCAAAGTGGCAAACTTAACATTTGAACTGAGTCAACAATGTATTACAGAAGTGTTGCATGCTTTTGTGATGGTAGTGATGCCTCTGGTAACTCTTTATTGAGGACCACTAATGTGTTTATGATATAGGTTGGAGCAAAAGAATTGAATATGAGCCTGGCACTGGAAGTTTGGCATTGTTTCCAGTTATGCATCTGGAAACATGTGATGAACCTATTACATCCATTCAGACAACTGTTGAATTAGAAACGAGCCATATAGGAAAAGGATGCGACAGGGACACTTATTCTGAAAAATCACTCCACAAACTTTGTGGTAAGGCTTTTATTAATGAACAATACAGAATGTAAAAGCTGAAAACCTCTAATCGTTACCTGCCACATTTTTCTAAGAAAAGTTTTGTTGAATGTTTCCTTGTAATCAATTTTTGTTGCTGTGTGTCCTGAGTGGTTTTGTTATAAAATTTTATCATTTTTAAACCTTGAGTGTTGTAGAGGGTGTTTGAATTCTGTCTTTGCAACCAAAAGGACGCAGTCTAGTAAACTTGGCCTCAAAGATGCATTTATGAACTTAAACTCTTAAACAGTCAACAGATTTGTTTTGAAGTGCAGCCATATTGATCAAAGTACAGCTACAATCTCTTTGCAATGGATTTTATTGCTGGAGCAAAAGATTATTCACCATAGTTGGCCCTTCTGTGTAGACCGAGATGAACTTACCTGAAAAAAAAACTGCCTCACTTATGTCTGTTTTTATAGTAGCATTATTTCAGATATTCAAAAGTATATAATGTTGACTGGTATTTGCTAATCTAATGCTGGAATCTCTTTCCAAAAACCTTAGTGAGCTGCCTCTCTGTATTTGTTAATAGTGTCCACTGCAGCCGCATTGTGCTAGTGGTGTGGGTAGGAATGTTTTGGGTATTGGGCTGGGGTGCCGATCAAATGGGTTGCTTTATGTGGTTGTTGCTCAGTTTGTGCTGTTGGTGGTTATGTCCTCCATCCCACTTTAGACTCATGTTTTGGAAAAGCTTTGAGAAATCTCTTAAGGCCTTGAAAATAATTACACTGAAGTTCTAAATATTGAAGTTTTTGCACATAAGCCAAAGGTCCATGTACCTTAATTTGATCTTTGAACTAAGCTTTTGACTTGAAACAGCTAACTTTTTCGGCATGGTTCTAGTTGAAATGTTACATTCAGTACTTCCAGACCAGCATTGCTTCTGGTATTAAAGAATACAAATTGAATGAAACTTGTTTTGTCTATTAGACGTATCATTACCAACGATAACCGTCAGCATTAGACAGGTGGGGTGTATGTGTGTGTCCCAATGGTTTTATCTTTCTTGCCGTTCTTGATTTCAGGTGCTGCTTCCGGTACAATTGATCTCCTTCCCTCACCAAGTAGCAGTACGAATTGGACAGTTGGTCTTCCCTCTGATAATGGCCGTGATAGTGATCAGGTCTTTGAGTTCAATGGCACTCAAGCTGTGAAAATCCCAGAAGGTGTTTTGACAACAAATCTAAAGGAACCATTTACAATTTCTGTGTGGATGCGGCATGGGCCTGGTTCCAGTATTCACGGGGACAAGGAAACTGTTCTTTGCAACTCTGATAAAACAGGTATGCATGACTTTATCTTTGAATTTCCTTTTATCTTCTGCCTTTTCTGCAGTAAGGCCATTGTTAAACTCAACCAGTCCACTTCTGGAATGTTTATATTTCAGATATGTTTTGTTTTATTGTCAGAAGTCGCTCAACATCAGATTATAGTCCAACAGGTTTATTTGAAGTTCACCTGATGAAGCAGCTACGCTCTGAAAGCTTATGATTTCAAATAAATCTGTCGGACTATTACCTGGTGTCATGTGAGTTCTGACTTTGTCCACTCCAGTCTAACACTGACACCTCCACATTATTGTTTTATTTTATTAGGGAAGAGATTAAAATCATGGAAAAGCTTGAGATTGTTTTCAAACAGTCTCCAAGGCACCTTTTATATTCTGGAGATGGAAATGTGATGTTGCACATACTAGATCCAGATCATAACTACTTAGTGAAGAAGATATGATGAACATCAAGACTGAATTTGAGTAGAAATATTGTATTTTTTATTTAATAAACTAAGGCTGTTGCTAAAATGAGTTCTTTTTTCTAGTGTTAATTAACCATTCAAGGTGAAAATCATCAAAATGATCAAGTCATATATTGCTTTTGTTTGTGTAAGAAAGCATGTTTGCATAGTTCACTGACGTTAAGTTGAAACTGTCTTCAACAAATGATCAGTGATTTCCTCAATAAACTAAAGGGTAAAGCATGAGCTGATTTGTAATGCTGTCTTCTACACCCCAGTATTTCTCAAGCTTGTTTCATGTCTCCCTGATTTATATTTACAGATCTCCAGCATTTGCAGTACTTTATTGTATTTGATTTATAATTTAACCTCTGTATCATTGGCTAAGCAAAAAAAGTAACTGAAAGGACTGTTATGACACAGTGGTAGTTTCCGTACCTCAGGGCCAAAAAACTTGGGTTCAGTCCCACCTGCTTCAGAAGTGTGTCATTGGACACAGGAGCAGGTTGTTATAAAAATGAGATAACAAGGTGTAGAGCTGGATGAACACAGCAGGCCGAGCAGGAAGGCTGACATTTCGGGCCTAGACCCTTCTTCCATTTTCTGAAGAAGGGTCTAGGCCGGAAACGTCAGCCTTCCTGTTCCTCTGATGCTGCTTGGCCTGCTGTGTTCATCCAGCTCTACACCTTATCTCAGATTCTCCAGCATCTGCAGTTCCTACTATCTCTGATATAAAAATGGGTATTTTTTAAAAAAGCAACTGTTTCTTGCTCATTGCTATCTAGTGACCTCTGCTGGGAGCTCTGTGTACTGTCTTGGTATGCTTAGAATAGGAACATGCTTTTGCTGTTTCCTTCTAGACTGTTCATGGAATTTTATTAGGAGTCGATGTAAAAGCCCTAAATGATGAAAATTGGTAGACCTGTGATATTAAAGGTTGCAAGTAACCTCATGCTACTGGAGTGTTATCTTGAGGCAAGAATAGTCAGTTGCTCAAACCAGGTCATTTAATGTATTAATCTTAGATAAATGCTTACTTTTAATGAAATATACATGCAAATCTGAAAAATTCTTTTGATTTCAATTGGGTCCTCTTATGCCACACACCAATATTTGTGATATTTTTGTCCGCTCTATAGCAATATGTCTGAGACCAGAAGCTCAAGTGATATGAGAATTATAATGACAATCCCACATTTTCTAACTGTCCTGTGCCTTGTTCCATCAGGATCTAGCCTTTAATTTGCCCCTTTTTTTTTTGCACTTCAATCTATTATCTGCTCCAAACTTTAACAGGAATTGACTCTTATTTTTGATGTCACATATCTAATAATCTGTATTCTCTTTTTTAAAAAAAAAAAAAATTTTGCAGACATGAATCGTCATCACTACTCCCTTTATGTGCACAACTGCCGTCTGGTTTTCCTCTTCCGCCAAAACCCTTCAGAGAATGAGAACTTCCATCCTGCAGAGTTCCATTGGAAACTGGATCAGGTTTGGAAAACGTTGTACATGTATATCTGTTGAGTGTGAATAACACCCTGATCAACTCGTAGAAAGTGGCTCCTGGTGCACTCTTACTTTAAGAATGTTTAGCTATCTCATGGCTGTGTTTTTGACAAATGGAACCTGTGTGTACACTTGTTTCCATTGTACAGCAGCTGTGTACTACACTAAAGCATAGACACATTTAAAAATCATTATAAAGTATTTGCTTTTTTGTGCAGTAATGGTACAGTGAAAAGGCACAATGATATTATCCTTTCCTTTAGAGCTTAATTTGAAGAGCATGTGAGTTTTTTCTCGCAATAGGTGAAATGTTTAAAATGCACACATTTTGGATTTATGAAGAAAACCTGTGAAAGTCATGCAACTCCATTTGAAGTTGATGGTAAAAGTTAAAAGTTGAGACTTTGTGGACCAATGGGTTAACACTGGATTTGTATCTGTGGAGCCTTGGTTCAAAATCTGCTGTGAATGCAAATTTTGTGTTTTAGCTTTAAGGATTCCATATTAAAGAAATTTGGCATCCTAAACCCATTTACCAGATCAAAATGTTCTAACCTGCAAGGCCACTTATATGCGTACTGTTACACAAATAGAAAATTGTATACGAATGTGATCTTTGAAGGTTGTAACTAAGATATATTTTTGGAGCATTCATTTACTTTACGTACAGTTGGGTAAATTTACCTTCCCTTAACTTCGTGCATGACGTATCAGAATGTGCAGCTGTTTCTGATGATGTCATCAGCAATTGTTCAAGCAAACCAATCGAGTTTGGAGTGGGAAATCTTAGTTTAGAATACTTATGTCCAGGGAGTTTGGCTGTGACTAATTATATCTAGGAAGAGCAAGTTGGGACAAATGTGTGATGACAGTATTGTGTTTAGGTTAAGAAACAAAATAGTGGTTCATTCAAAATCTATTGGTCTTGAAGCTTTCAGTTGAAGCAAGTAAAATATTAATATTCCCTTTGTTTGCAGTTTTCAGTAAAGGCATAGTCATACAGCATTGAAACAGACCATCACTTTGGACCAGACATCCCAATCTAACCTATTCCCATTTGTCAGCATTTGGTCTATAAGCCTCTAAACCCTTCCTATTTATGTACCCATCCAGATGCCTTTTAAATGTTGTAATTGCACCTGCCTCCATTTCCTCTGGCGGTTCGTTCCATACACCCACCATCCTCTGCATGAAAAAGTTACCCCTTGGGTCCCTTAAAAATCTTTCGCCTCTTAGCTTAAACCTACGCCCCCTAGTTTTGGACTCCTCCACCTTAGGAAAAAGACCTTGGCTATTCACCCTGTCCACGCCCCTCATGATTTTTATAAACCTCTGTAAGGTCATTCCTTAAACTCCGCTTCAGGGTAAAAGCTCCAGCCTGTTCAGCCTCTGTTTATAACTCAAATCCTTCAGTCCCGGCAACATCCTGTGAATCTTTTCTGTACCCACCTCGTGTTTAACAACATCGTTCCTTTAGAAGGGCGACCAGAATTACTGTCAATAATTGAAATATGTGTAGTGTCTGCCTAAGGAGCTTGGATTTTAGAAGTTTAAAGTTGGTGTAAAGATTAGATTTATGGATTTGGAGGAATATACTGATACTTTAGGTTTTTTTCCTTTGTTAGCTAGTCCTTTGCTGAACGGATGTAGTGCACTTTCCATCTTACCATTGCTATCCCATATCTTGTAGGTGTGTGATAAAGAATGGCATCACTATGTACTAAATGTCGACATCCCCACTGTGGCCCTATATGTGGATGGAGTTTCATACGATCCGTTCCTAGTTACTGAAGACTATCCCCTCCACCATTCAAAGATTGAAACTCAGTTGGTGGTAGGAGCATGTTGGCAAGGTAAAGTGGGATAAAATTGCTTTGGTGTGACACTTGCAGATGGTGGAGTAATTGAGTCAATATTGTATGAAACTCTGATTTTAAGGACTATCAATAGAAGTAGACAATTAGTTTTTTAATCATGGTTATAACAATTCCAACACTGATTGTTGTGCAGTAACTGCCTCTTAAATATGTTTGTGGATGTCTTGCAAGGATAGGATCATGCTCAGCTGTGACTTATCTTTTTACTCTTCTCACTCAAACAATTGAATTACTTGCTAACATTTGTCATGTAGGTTGATAATTGACCAGCAACACAGCCGAAGTTCTGCATAGTTTCTAGATCTGTGCTCCCACATGAGCCATTGCCTTCTCAAGGAGGGAGAAAGTTTTATTCTTAAAGTCAATGCGAATGTTATTAGATTCTATTTCTATGACAGCTAATCTGATGTGAAAATTATTGCACTTAGCCTTAGTGCCATCTACATGCATTAATTGCTTGTTTTATTTGGCTACTTTACTACATATAGTTTTGCAAACAATCTTTTAAAAACAAAGATCTTTCTTCCAATATAATTTTTAAAGGCAATTTCCCTTTTAGGTTAATGGAAATAATTAATTCGTCCCTACGGATGAACTGAGGTCCTGGTTTTGATTCCTGGTCTACCCTGACCTGAGTGGGTGCTACTGTTAAGCCCAGCATTCTAGAGCTAAAGTGAAAACATCAGTTGGAGTTCCTACTCCTGCTATCCAGCAGCTCCCACCTCAAAGAACACGATTGTGGATCTTGTGTAGGAACTGACTCTGCTGTCTTTGTTCAGCCCAATGACCTGCCGGTTTTCATTGTCCAGACTTGTCTACGGAGTCATTCCTCATGTACAAGTTACCAAAGAGTTATTGCTATCTCTGGATCCATACTTCTCCAAGAGTCAGCATTTCTAGCCAGGGCACAAAACAGGAAGGAGAACTTCAGAAAAGTTTGCTATATAATGTACAAATATTTTATGTACAAATGAGAAAGCAAACTTAATGGTTTTAATCCATAGTCGAGGATTGCTATTAACCACTTTGGCCTTTTTGGAATTTTCAAATACCTTGACATGTGCAACTAGATTCCCCAATCCTTTACCCCTATATCTCCTCTTTCTTTCTTTTGTCTTGCTTTTCTACAGAGTACACAGGAAGCGAAAATGAAAATGAAACTGTGACTGAAGCCTATCCAGGTTGCTGGGGGTTTCCCTCCTGTTTATTTCCAGAATTAGCATGAAATGTTCATTATATGTTTTGATCCACTTTGGCTGCATCATACGCTGCTTTTTCACTTACTCCTGCATTTTGCTACCAAGACTTTTTTTGTTGGCAAGCAAGGGGTGGTTAAAGAGGTATGTTCCTGTGTGCACGCTGAATGTCAGTGAGATGGTGTTAAGTAGTGTGACTTTATCTGTGAAAAATCTAGCCTAAATAATAGCCCTATTAAATATAAAATTTTTGAATTGAAGTATTGCCGAAAAGGGGGCATGTTCTCATCTTGCACTGTTTGGACAGATGCAGGAATGCCAATTTTAAAAGAAACAAATTTATACAGTATGAGAAACAGGGTGCTGATTGGTTGGAAGGTGGACTCGGGTTGAAGTATTACCATGGGGCAATACATCTGGAAGCATTTTGTCTCCAATGCTTTTGTTCAATTGAAAGAACGATGCTTGGGCGTGCTCTTTTTATCTGTCAGGGACAGGATCTTGCAAATGAATATAAGTAGTGTCCAGAAAATGTAAGTGAGCCATATTGCAAACCTAATTGATCAAGTTTTATCTATATTTTGATGCTTTAAATTTGACTTGATGTTGAAAATTGGAGAATAGTGCATTTTGATCTGATGCTATTTTGCTACTTAAATTTTGGGTTTTTTGCTTGTTGTATGTCATTCTGAATTCGCATAAACATCTATTAAAGTAATTAATCAGATATGTGAAGGAGGTCCTCTAGCCAAAAACGACTGATTCTTTTTACTGTGAGATTAGTTAATTGAAGTAAAATGTGTCATTGCTTTTCGATGTTATACGTTTGATTCCACCACACTTGCTGCTCTAATACAGAGTATACTGGATGAATGCAATTTGGGGCCTCTTTGTTTCTGCAAAGCAAATGTACTGTTGCTCTCAATTAAGCAAAATACTTGCCTGCCCATCAATGATTAGCACCCCCCCCAGTTCTCAACTAATTAATCAGTAAAATGCAGCTGTCTTCCATTTACAGTATGGGATAGACAGCCCAGTTTCTACTGGAATTTTATTCATTCTGGTTTCTGTGGAGATAATTTTTCAAACAAAATTGGTTTTCAAGTGACTGGAAAGATAAAACAAGATATGAGGTTAGTTTTATTGTTACAAACTCAATAAATTTCATACGTGGTGGAAAAGTTTCCCTATTTAAAAAATTGAAGAATCTTACCACTGTCAAACTTGCACAGTTCCTTAAGTGGGCATCGTTCTTCAGTAACTAGTCCATAAAATCATACAGAACAAAAGAGCCCCTTCTACCGTTGAGTCTCCACCAACAAAATGCTACTCTAAATCTGCATTAATCCCATAGTTGGATGCACTGTATGATTTGGTTAATGGCCTGAATGGCCTTCCATGTTCTACAATGAGTCTTAATCAGTCACTTAATATCTGGAAAATATGTTTATTCATGTACCACCTCACTGTACTAAAGAAAGCTGACACAGCAACTCACTCCATCCCACTTACTCCTTTCGTTTTCATAAATTTTATTGACTACAGTGAAGTGCTGCATTTTGCCAAACGCCATATGCATGAGGACAAGTCATCGTTATGCACACTTGAAGCCAGAAGCTAATCGTGGAGAATGGAAGTTTCACTAACCTGCATGAATGCACGATCATGGCAGTCATAAAAGATGGCTAAACATAAAAAACCAAACCATATTTATATTACATTTTCCAGGAGGTGAATTTCGCATGACTCAGTTCTTCTTTGGCAATTTAGCTGGTCTGATGATTCGGGCTGGCAAACTTGAGAGCAAAAAGGTGATTGACTGCTTATACACCTGTAAAGAAGGACTGGATCTCTTGGATTCTGGGAATAGTTACAAAGGTGTGATGGTAAGAAAGCTATAGATAGTGTTTTCCTCTCATTTCAGTAGAAGCCTTCATTGGGCTATGTCTTTCTCCAGGAAAATTAAATTCTGCTCTGGTGAAGTTACAATTGGGTACTAAGTGCATTCTAATTGTCCAGCATCAACCTTAGAGAATAACTCCTTCCAGGATATGGCACCAGAGGAACAGACTGCCATTTGGTACCTTACTGAAGTGGCTGTTCTTTGCCATGACATCCAATATTGTCTTCAGGCTTTTTCTAAAGTCAGGTCTATTTTAATCAGAAACTGATCTCTTGCCCCTAAGGATAAGCAATAAGTGCTGCCTAGCCAGGGCACCCACATCCATAAATGAATAAAATAAAGAAATCCTCAGGTTATGAAATTGTGCATTTTTTTTGTTTCCTATGATAACTTACAAATGTTTTGATTACAACTCTGCTGTTGTGCCTTGGTCAGCTGATTCAAAGTCAAATCAGCTTTTAATTTCAAAGAAGCAAGGAGCAACACTGTTACTTAGTTTTAGACACCTGTATAATGTTGAGCTATTTTATTATAGTCCATGTATGAAAGGTGTGTGGCAAGATAAATTAAAGAACTGTTCTCAACTGCATATTATGTGACTTGTATAATCTGAGACATTGGTGGATAACCTTGTGCTGGTTAAGTCTTTGCATGGTTCAGTGCTGTTCTGCACGTTTCCACTGCAGTATGACTTAGTGTCCGTGTTTCCCTATGCTTAGGGTCAGAGTGGCCCTTTTGTGAATATGTCCGGCCTATTAGGTTAAAGTGCATTATAGTCTTTTTGCTTTGTTTAATTTGTGGAATGTGGATCTGCTGGCTGGGCCACTGTTTTCTTTTTAAGCCATCACTAGTTGCCCTTGAAGGTGTTGTTGAGCTGCCATCTTGAACAGCTGCAGTCCATTTGGTGTATGAAGACCCACAATGCCTTTAGGGAGGGAGTTCCAGGATTTAGGAGCAGTGATATATTTCCACGTCAGGGTGGTGGGTGATTTGGCGGGGAACTGGCAGACCGTATTGTTCCCTTGTATCTTCTGCTCTTGTCCTTCTAGATGGTAGTGGTTGAGAGTTTGGAAGGAGCTGTCTCTCAATACATTAAAGTCATGATCCGTGGGCATATAAAGCTCCAACTCACCGATGGAAAAATAGTTGTGAACCAAATTGAGTGCTGTTTTCAAATCAGCTTTTCTCTTGTAGGTTCACTTCAATCCCACCCAGTCAGTCCTTAGCATGGAAGGGGATGATATTGAAAGTTTCGACAAGAACATGCAGCATGTGTCATACCTCAATTCTAGGCAGTTCCCGACACCTGGAATTAGAAGATTGAAAATCAGCACAACTGTAAAGTAAGTTGGATAAATAAATTGAAATGTTTGTTTTATTCTTTTGCAATAGTATTGTTTCCCAACTTCAGTTCTGTATAGAATCTGTGTGAAATTATACTATTACAGTTGCAATTCCTACTTGCATCTTAAGATGTAGGTTTTAGTAATCAAGGATTATATGTAGCTATTTGTGCAAGCCACGCTGTGGCTATGTAAGGCTTGATTAAGCAGCACCTGGAGTACTGAGACCAGTTATGGAGTTATATAGCACGGAAACACAGACCCTTTGGTCCGTGCAAATGAGTTGGACCTGATATCCCAATCTGACCTGATCCCGTTTGCCAGCATTTGACATATATCCATCTAAACTCTTCCTATTCATATACCCATCCAGATGCCTTTTAAATGTCATAATTTTACCCGTTGCCTCCACTTCCCTGGTGGCTCATTCATTCATACACCACTCTGTGTGAAAAAGGTACCCCTTGGGGCCTTTTCACATTTTTCCCCCTCTCCTATGTTCTCTAGTTTTGGACTCACCCCTACCCTACAAAAAAGACCTTTGCTGTTCACCCTATCCATGCCTTTCATGATTTTATAAACCTCCGAGTTCACCTCACAGCCTCTGACACTGCAGGGAAAAGATGTCTGCAGCCTATTCAGCCTCTCCCTAAAACTCAAACCCCCCTGTCCCAACAATAACCTTGTAAATCTTTTCTGCACCGTCTCATGTTTAACAACAGCATTCCTATAAAAGAGCAACCAGAATTGTATGCAGTGTTCGAAAAGTGGCTTCACCAATGTCGAGTACAGCCACAAAATGACATCCCAACTCCTATAATCAGTGTTATGACAGATGAAACTAAGTGCACCAAACGCTGCCTTCATCCTCCCTACATGTGACTCCACTTTCAAGAAACTGTGCACCTGCACCCCTAGGTCTTTGTTTGGCAACACTCCCCATGGCCCTACCATTAAGTGTATAAGTCCTGCCCTAATTTGCCTTTCCAAAGTGCACCACCTCACATTTATCTAAAGTAAACTTCATCTTCTACTCCTTGATCCATTGGCTCATCTGATCAAGGTCCCGTTGTACTCTGAGAACCACCTTCACTGTCAACTACACCACCTGTTTTGGTGTCATCTGCAAACTTGCTAACCATACTTCCTTTGTTCACATCCAAATCATTATTATAAATGATGAAAAGTAGTTGACCTAACACCAATCCTTCTGGCACACCACCGGTCACAGGCCTCTAGTCTGAAAATCAACTCTTTGCTACCACCTTCTGTCTCCTACCTTCAAGCTAATTTTGCATCCAATTGGCTAGCTCTCCCTGGATCCCATATGATCTAACCTTATTGACCAGTCTACCGTGCAGAACTTTGTTGAACGCTTTGCTCAAGTCCAGATAGGCAGTGTCTATCGCTCTGCCTTCAATCATCTTTTCACCTCTTCAAAACACTTAATCAGGTTAGTGAGACATGACTTCACATGCACAAAGCCGTGTTAACTATCCCTGATCAGTCCTTGCCTTTCCAAATACACGTAAATCCTGTCCCTCAGAATCCCCTCCAACAACTTAACAATCATTGACATAAGGCTCATCGGTCTGTTGTTCCCTGGCTTTTCCTTACAGACTTTCTTAAATAATGGTACCACATTAGCCAGCCTCCAGTCTTCCGGCACCTCACCCGTTGTCAGTAATAAAAATATCTCCGCAAGGGGCCTAGCAGTCTCTTCATAATGTTCTTTGCACAGTGGAGAGTAGTGAGGCAAATCACGTGTCCTAAAGGGTAGAAAGTTGAGGTGTGGTGTCATGTGGTTCTGTGCCATGCTGAGTGTTAGAAAACTTTTAATTATGCAGAGCAAACTTTGAAAGCATGCAAAAAAAATATATTGCAATTTAATCTCATTTCTCAAGAACACTGGATTAAAAATCATCTTTCTTTAATTCCAGGTGCTTCAATGAAGAGACTTGCATCACTATCCCAGATGTGGAGGGCTATGTAATGGTACTTCAACCTGATGAACCAAAGATAAGCCTGAGTGGAATTGATCACTTTGCACGTGCTGCCTCTGAATTTGAAAGTAATGAAGGTGTTCCACTGTTTCCAGAGCTGAAGATCGTTAGCACCATCACAAGAGAAGTGGAGTCAGAGGCAGAGGATGAAGATGAGCCTACAGGTGAAAGGCCCATCATCTGTTCTGTTGTAGATTATAGGCAAAGCAGCCAGATGAAATCCAAAATATTCAAGTGCAACATCATCCACTTTGGACAGGGATTGATAAACATGCTTTCAAGATGGTGTTAAGGTAGATGCAGTGGTGATAGAGATAGCCTTGGCAGTAAAGGTGTCCCATATACCTAAATCATTAAAATGTCATGGCATCAGTTTTTGATTTTTATATTTATCTGTCAATGTTAAGCTTCATATCTGCTGGACTAGAGTGTAATTCAAAAATGGTTGAAGTCTTGTGACAGCTGTATCAAGCTTTCATTAGATGGCACCTAGAGTACTGAGAACAGTCTGGACACTGCACCCAAGGATATGTTAGTCTTTAGATGGGGTTACAGACCTATGGAATTACTTGAATGATGCCCAGACTTCGAGGGTCAATTTACAGGGAGAGGTCAGAGGATCAAGCTTTTTAGTATTCTGTAAGTTTCAATGAGACCTCCCCCTTATTGTTCTAAGCTCCATCAAATGCAGACAGAATCCTCAATTGCTCCACATATGACAAGTCCTTCATGCCCAGGATTGTTCTTGTAAATCTCCTCTGGACCCCCTTCAATGCCAGCACATTCATTCTCAGATATGAAACCCAAAACTGCTCTTGATATTCCAAATGCAATCTGACCAGTGCCTTATACAGTCTCAGTGGTACATCTCTGCTCTTGTATTTTAGCCCCCTCAAAATGAATGTTAATATTGCATTTGCCTTTGTCTTCCTAACTGCCAACTGAGCCTGCATGTTAACCTTAATAGAATCCTGAATTAGGGTTCCTTTATGCTTCAGATTTCCAAAGTCTTTCCCCATTTAGAAAATTGTCTGCACCATTATTCCTACTAAAGTGCATAACCTTACATTTTCTCACATTGTATTCCATTTGTCACTTCTTTGCCCACTCTCTCCTAGCCTGCTCATGTCCTTCTGCAGCCTCCCTATGTCCTCAACACTACCTGTTCCTCCATCTAACTTTTGTGTCATATGTAAACTGAGCAAAAAGCCCTCAGTTACTTCATCCAGATCATTAATGTTTAATGTGAATGGTTGTGGTCCCAGCATTGACTCCTGCAGAATTCTACTTGTTACCATCTGCCATCCTGAAAAAGATCTCTTTATCTCCATTGTATGCCTTCTGCCAGTCAGCCAATCCTTTGTCTGTGGCAGTACCTTGACCCTAATGCTATGGGCTCTTCTGTTATTTAGCAGCCACCTGTGCAGCACCTTGTCAAAGGCCTTCTGAAATAGATTGCATCACTGGCTCTCCTTCATCTAACTTGTTCATTATTTCCTCAAATAATTCTAACACTTGTCAGGCATGACCTCCTCTTGAAGCCATACTGACACAGCCCTATTTCTCCGTGCACTTCCAGTACTGTGCAATCTTGTCCAAAGTGGATTCTAAAATCTTAACCAACAACTGAGGTCAGGCTAACTGGCCTATAATTTCCTATCTTCTGCCTCCCTCCCTTATTAAACAGGAGTGTTACATTGACCATTTTCCAGTCCTCTGTAACACTCCCTGACTCCAGTGATTTTCTAAAATATCACCACCTCCTCCACAATCTTCTCAGCTATCTCCTTCTGAACTCTGGTGTAGTCCATCTGGTTTGGGTGATTTATCCACTTTCAGCTTCCCCAGCATCTCCTTAATGATGGCCACTACATTCACCGCTACCCATTGACTGTCTTGACGTTCTGGTAAGCTGCTGGTGTCTTCCATTGTGAAGACTGCAAAGTATCTATTCAATTCCTGTGCCATCTTTGTTCCCCAGTACTGCTATGGCCTCATTTTCCACCCTTGCATCTCACCCCTTTGTATATCTTAAAAGCTCTTGCAATCTTATTGCTAGCTAGCTTACCCTCATATTTCATCATCTCCCCACGTAGTGCTTTTTAAGTTATCCTCTGCTGGTTTATTAAGGCTTCTCAATCCTCTGGCTTCCCACTAATCCTCACCACATTGTATGCTTTTTCTTTTATGCTGTCCCTACCTTCCTTTGTCAACCATGGTTGCTTTGGCATCCCCTTAGGGATGAATTTCTACTGTGCCTCCCAAATTACCCTCAAACTTCTGCCATTGCTGCTCTTGTCTTCTCTGCTAGCTTCACCTTCCAATCAGCTCTGGCCAGCTCCTCCCTCACGTCTTTGTAGTTACCTTTACTCAATTGTAATACTGTTACATCTGATTCCAGCTTCTCCTTCAAACTGCAGGGTGAATTCTGTCATGCGGTTGTTTGGCAGCTCACTGAGCTGGCTGTTCTGTGGTTTGCAGATGTTTCGTTACCCTTCTGGGCAACATCATCAGTGTGACCTCTGATCGAAGTGTTGGTGTTCTGCTTCTTTCCGGATTTATATGACCCCCTGGTGTGATGGTCTTGTTGCTTCCGGTTCTGTTGTTTTAACAGCCGTCTGTATATGGGGTTTATGTTTGTGTTTTTGTTAATGGAGTCCTGTGTTGAGAACCAGGCTTCCAGAAATTCCCTTGCATGTCTGGGTGTTCACTTGTCCTAGTATGGTCATTTTGTCCCAGTTGAACTGATGGCCCTCATTGTCTGCATGTATTGAGAGAAGTGAATATTGGTTGTGTCTTTTTATGGCCCACCGGTGTTCATGTATCCTGGTCATCAGTTTCCTCCCTGTTTGTCCAATATACTGTTTATTGCGCTTGCCTGGTATTCTGTATATCACGTTGGTCTTGTTTTACTGTCAGTATGGGGTCTTTAGTCTTTGATAACATTTGGCACAGTGTTGCTGCAAGTTTGTGCGCAATCATGATCTTATGCGGTTTTAGTAGTTTGGTAGTCATTTCTGATATTTTTAATGTAGGGGAGCATTGCTACTGTCTTGTGTTGTACAGTGTTCCTACAAGAAGGCCACACACACGGACCAAATCCTTAACTTCAATAGCAACCACCCAACCATACACAAATAGAACTGTGTCAAGACACTATTTAAATGAGCCGCATCACACTGCAACACCCTAGAACACCAGAAAATGGAAGAGGAACACCTACACACAGTTTTATTGACAACGGATACCCAATAAGTTTCATCTGCCGATGCTGACAAAAGTCAGAGGACACTGTACAACAGAAGACACTAGCAACGCTACCGTACATCAAAAATGTATCAGAAATGACTACCAGACTCCTAAGACCACACAAAATCATTGCACACAAACCTACGGCAACACTGCACCAAATGTTATCAAAGACTAAAGACCCCATACCGACAGTAAACAAGACCAACATGACATATAGAATAAGAACATAAGAACTAGGAGCAGGAGTAGGCCATCCGGCCCCTCGAACCTGCCCCACCATTCAATAAGGTAATACCATGCAGCAAGTGCAATAAACATTACGTTGGAGCATCGGGGAAGAAACTGACAGCCAGGCACACTAACATCAGCTGGCAGTAAAAAGACACGACCGATATTCACTTGTCTCAGTACATATAGACAATGAGTGCCATCAGTTCAACTGGGACTAGCAAACACCAGACATGCAAGGGAATTTCTGGAAGTCTGGTTCTCAACACGGGACTCCATTAACAAACACATAGAAATGGACCCTGTATGCAGACCACTGCTAAAAGAACAGAACTGGAAGCGACAAGACTATCTCAGAGGATCATATAAATCCGGAAGGAAGCAGAACGCTAACGTTTCAATTAGAGGTCACACTGATGATATTGCCTAGAAGGGTAACAAAGTGTCTGCACCCCATAAAACAACCAACTCCGTGAGCTAACGAACAACTGCATCCACAGCCCAAGTTTTCATTAAGACCTTGAATTCTATCATATTATGGTCACCTGCCCCATAGAGGTTCCTTCACCTTAAGTTTCCTAATTGAATCTGCCTCATTACATATCACCAAGTCCAGAATTGCGTGCTCCCTCGGGAGCTGTACCACAAGCTGCTCCAAAAAGCTATCTCAGACATTCCACTTTTCTTGGGATCTGCTACCAGTCTGATTTTCCCAGTCCACCTGAACATTGAAGCCCTTCCCCTGCGACCCATCCCATTATTGTAATAGTGCCTTTCTTCCATGAATTTCTATCTCCTGATTTATTTTCTTTCTCCATATACTGACTGCTGCCAGGAAGCCTTTACATAACTCCCCTAGTGATCTTGTCTCCCCTTATGATTCCTCAACTCTACCCCCACACATTCTATGCCTTTGGATCACTTTTTGCTGTCAATTTTAATTTCATTTCTTATTCAAGTCAGCCCACCCCCTTTGACTATCTTCCCATCCTTTTGACAGGACATGTATCCTTGGATATTTAGTTCCCAGCCCTCAACCCCTTGCAGCCATGTCTCTATGATACCACAACATCGTACCTGCTCATTTTAGTCTGTTACAAGAGAGGTTAAGGGAAATAGGGCAAAGGTAGGTACATAGAGTATGGTCACAGAACAGGATTAAGAGATCAGGTAGCGTACTACATTTTTATGCTCCAATATTCTTGTGGTTGCTGTGTGGAAATGATTTTTTTTTTCTCCTTTTCCTGAAAATTTCAGCATAGAACAATCAGCCAGCCAGTGGAATATTATTCTGGTAATGCTCATATCTGGTATTGTTGTACCTCTTTCCATACCTCCGCTGGATTTATGTACTGCAATAAATCTTTGTCCACAGATTCAGTATTAAAAGACGCAGATGATATCAGTGAGGTCTGCTACAGCCCATGTTATAAATTGTCTCTTCCGAATTTTGCATTTACATCTGCATGTACCAGTGCTAGTTGTTCCTATCTGACTTGCTGCATGATAATTAGGCGCTGTAATCTTCTGTTACTGTTTTAAAAATTTGAGTCCAGGCCTTGTAATTGTATTTGGCATTATGGACAAAAATGATAAGACAACTGGTATCCTTAGTCCTGTAGAATAGCCAGCAGTAGGAAGCCTGAATTACAGACTTTGTTTGAGATCAGTAGTGAATAAAGCCTGTGTTCTGTAACATTTTCTTGATGGTTGAAGGTAATCCCAACTTAATCAAAGTAGCTAATCAAACAGTCGAGAAATTAATTTTAAAGCTAGTAAATCTTGCATCGTTTCAAGATATTCTGCCGCTTTTAACCTTTGCAAGTGCACCAAAATGCTGAACGTCCATTGCGGCTGAGGACCACATTGTTTGATCCTTTTTCAAACAACTGGTTAGTGGCAGCTTGGGAAGAGAAATAATGACACATGAGGAATAGCATTACTGGATGTAGCACCAACATTTTCAGCTTTTGTTTCAATTTCATGCATTAGTTTGACCTGTGCTATGGGTACATAAATTGTCAGTGTTTCTATGCAACTTATTCCTCATTCTAGCTAATTCTGAAATCATTTCATGTGGAACGTCAACTTGTAGATTTCTGGTGTTAGCAGCATTTCTGTACAGTTGGGGTATCCTGCCAATTGAAACCAATTAACTGAATTCATAATTGCTGTGGGAATTTTAAAGTTGACCCATATTGACATTTTTGTTAAGCAATCTCCATGGAATGGGAGCTTACTAATTCTTAAACAGAATTTTTGTTTATAGTCCAGGAATCTATGATATCTGAAGAGATAATGCACAATCTGGATATGTGTGAAGTCTCTGTTCTTGGAGATGAGCTGAATGCAGAACAGGAAAGCTTTGAAGTTGATCCATCTCAACTACAGCAAAGGGGTATGGAAATGAGTAACTCATCTACTGGTTTGACTATCACAGGTGAGTTTTAAAATATTGGAAGCTGAAGGCACTTTGTCGCATGCATGTAGAGAAACAGTTGATAGTGGTGAATTTTTGAATTGTGGTTTATGTCCAGTGAGTCCACATGCAACGCTTGAGGTCATTAGATTGCTGATTCATCAGATTTCTGCACTTCTGTAGTTATTAACTTACAAGCACTTGCCCTTTTCGGAATACTAAAACATTTTCTACATTCCTAACTCTCTCTCTCTGTTTGAGTAACTATGCTTCAGAAATTGAGATTGGGGATTCTCAATACATAAAGATTGAAAATCACTCTCTTTAGAGATTTAGGGAGCCTGATTTTAAAGGACACTGTAGAAATGTGAAAGATATTTAAACAAAAGTTTACATTATTGCATCTTTGAATTTTGTGGGGACTGGAGTTCCAATTTCAAATACCTCTAACGGAACTGTATATCTGATGCTGAATGAAGATAGGACCAAGCTTGTCTGCAGTGTTCTACTCCCACTGTTGTCACCTTGTTTCTATGTGGGAGAAATGTTGAAAGGGAGGGAAAATTGAATGGGTGGAATATCATTCTTAATTAAGGCGCTTTTCAAGACAATTATGTAACCATTTAAAACACAAAGTTTACAGTACCTTCAGGTACTGAATGTGATTTGCATTCTCTATTTACAATTTATGGAAGCAAAAATCTCTGCATTTGATTTTTCATTTTTCAAAAGTTCACTCATCAATCACTTTAACTCCTTTTTGGGGTCCAGATTTTCTCTGATGCCTCATCCTTTATTAAGTGTGAGGCATGACCATAATTGCCAACAAGCTATTTGCCAGCAAGGTTGATCACTTGCAGCAAAGACCACTGGCCAGCAATCCCATCAAGATGGGCTTTCTCTCTTTCCCTAACCCACTGATGCTGCACCTTGGTTATTGATACTATTCTTCAGTAGCAAGTGAAAATAACAGATCAAGCATCATGTCCAGAACCTTTCTAATCGGTTCACCTGCTCACTTGATGAAAATCTTAGGGACTGTCCACTTTTAAATTTCTGCTTGCAGTCAGTTGGGAATGAAAATCCTAATGCTTGATGTCTTGTAAAATTTGTTTCATGTGCTCATATTGTTTTGATTTGTATAGGTGTGAACACAATGGCAAATTACGAAGAGATGTTGCATTCAATCCGTTACCGAAACTGGAACAGCGAGTCATTGTTTGAAAGGAAGTTTAAAATTGTTTGCTCAGAACTGAATGGACGCTATGCCAGTAACGAATTCAAAGTTGAGGTAGGTGAAAACTCCTATAGGTGATGGAAGCTTTCTAGCTTTTGTTGCTTAAGAATCTTGAATAAAGTTATTGGATGATTTGTTAAGATCTCAACTTGAAAGACTAGTATGTATATTTGATAGTACAAAGAAAAATTAAATCAATCATTTTCACTAGCACATTGATTTCAGTAAAACCCCAACTGAACATTAACCAATTGGAATTGGTGGCGTGCAAGTTTTAAATTCATAAGTTAGTTCATTTTGACACAGCAAACTTTTGATTTAACAGGCACCTTGTGAACTGGCACTCTCCATAAACTGGCAAAAATGGTATACCTCAAATACCACAAAGTTTACTCTCCTGTGTTATTCTGTCCAATTATTATAGTTTAGTTTATTTACCTCGAACGTAAATATACTTGTCCAATCGAATGATCACACAACATATCAACAGTTGATTCAATTTCGAGTCAGTTTCTCCTCAACTACTGTAATGTCCAAGTAATCAGTTGGGGGTGCAAGTGAGAGGACTGTTTAAGGCAAAGTTTCGTTTGTGATTTAGGCTGTAAATAAAGTATTACCGTGATGTGTATTGTTCCTGCGTTATGTTTCTATTTCTAGTGCGTGTTTTTACGTTGGTTATGTGGACCTCTTGATTATCCAGAATATTTGATCAATTGGCATGCGCTAGTCAGGTAGATGCTGGTTAATAAAAAGTTTGCTGTATTTCCATTGTAGTGAAAGGGGGTTGGTTTGATTTACGTTCTGTACAGTTTTAACTTTACATGCTGTGATGAGAGTCTTAGGTGTCAGTTTAATTGAGGCATGTATGTTGTTTTCAGGTCAATGTAATTCACACTGCTAATCCAGTGGAGTACCCCAACCACTTATTGGCACAGCCAGAGTTTGTGCGCCCAGTTCAGCATGCTTCTGTCGACTTGTCTGGACACAATCTTGCAAACCCTCATTCATCCTCAGGTATATGGAGATGTTTAATGATGGAAGCAACTGTTAAAAGAAGGCGGATTTTTGCAGTCCCTGCCTTATCACTTTTATCTTTGTAATATGTTTTTGCAATAAGTTTCAGTTCAGTAACATTCCTGAAAAGACTTTGGTTCAAACAAGTGTACTGCATTAGGGGAAATGTTTGCTAGTTAATTTATTGTATGAAGACATATAGGCTGCCTAATGAGAGAAATAAAGCGGTCACCAAGTCCATTAAATCAATATTCTTGGAATATTTCAGTACCATGCATGAGTTTACAAGATCTGTAGCAGACACCAAATTAATTTTCTGGGGCTAACCAAGGATTACAGATCAATTTCAATATTTGCAGCAATAAAAAAATTTTTAGTTTGCCTAGGTTAAATTATTGTGTATATTAGGATCCAGCTGTTCTTGTGTTTTAAGGTATTTTGATTCTTGATCTTGTAAGTTCATTGACTGCCAAATCCAGCTAGTAGCTGGTCAAAAGTCCGTAATAGATACCATATTAAAGGGCATGTGTTGTCTTTTGAAAACTGAAATGCTGCTTGAGCATGACCTATTCTCGAGTGTGTTGTAAAGATTAGAAACACTAGAAATGATCTTTGTTTGCCCCATGTACCTTGTCTTTCATTCAAAGTACAAGCAGAATTAGTATGAAGATTGTATTTCCTCCTATACAGACAAGTGCAGTTTTATTCTGGGTCATTTGGTCAAATTATGGTGAAGGGTGTTGAAATGATTTTACAATTCTCAGCTTCCCTGTATGCAGTTTCTCCAGGAAGAAAGTTCTTACTAATACTTGTGACCAGCCGTGCAGCAAAAAAATTTTTATTCATGAACAGTTAGTTTATAAATACACTGTTTGAGAGACACTTGTCTTTTGATTCCATCACACCTTTTTGTTTTAGTTAAACAAATTTCAGATGCTGGATTACAACTGTCAATATTTCCTCTTCCTCCACCTCCACCTCCACCTCCTCCACCAATCTATTTGATTGTGTATTTAACTCCTCATTTCAAATATTTTCTGCCCAGAGACATGATTCTTTTGCAGTTGTGTATACTGAGGGCTACAAAAAAAACTCATGTTTAGATTGTTTACGGAATGATTTTAAAATTGTGTGCTCATTATTTTTCCAGTCAAGCTGCCCCAGGTCAGAACATTGTTCCAAGATCAGGATTTAGAGTACTATGTTCAGGCAGCTAGCTACCAGTTCTTATAACTTGTCACCTAGTATGATTCAATTGGTGACCAAAAATTAATGGATTTTTATTACATGGATGTCATGATGGTTCTATTTACTGGCTTCCTAAAGATCTGAATTAAATTACTTTTAGTAAAAGGAACTTGAAGAGCCCAAGATGAGGTCCTAAGTCAAATTTATGAAAAATGCCAAATAGCCACACTATAAAATCTGTTTAATTTGATCTTAAAATACAGCCAATACAGTTCCATGTGAATGTCCAGGTGGAGAACGAAAGATTCCCAGCAAGTCTCAATCCACTGTAAAAGATTGTTTTAGTAAATACGAATGTTCTTATGAGCCAAAAAAACAACTTTTCTTTTTCTTTCAAGTTGTTCCCAGTGCAGCAACTGTTGTCATTGTGGTTTGCGTCAGCTTCCTGGTCTTCATGATAATCCTCGGCATTTTCCGAATCCGTGCCGCACATCAGCGGACTATGCGGGATCAAGAGAATGGGAAAGAGAATGAGATGGATTGGGATGACTCGGCCTTGACAATTACAGTAAATCCTATGGAGGTAAAAGGCGATTTAATCCCAAACTTTTTTGAAATTTCTCATTGTGCAGCCAAAAATTTGTGTGCGTGTGTGTGCGCATCTGCATATACAGAAATGGGTTTTATTTTACATTTTGAAGGGACAGAGGTTACTAACATCCTTATAATAATGTATTATGTTGCCTCGCTAGACATACGAGGACCAGCATAGTAGTGAGGATGAAGAGGAGGAGGAAGAGGAAGAAAGTGAGGAAGGTGATGAGGAAGATGACATTACCAGTGCAGAATCTGAAAGCAGTGAGGAGGAAGAAGGTGAGCAGGAAGATCAGCAGAATGTTAACCGACAGCAGCAACTTGAATGGGATGACTCGACTCTTACCTATTGATTTCCCTGCTGTCGCTTTGTGCTTTTGGAGACTCCGTTGCTCACTCCGTCGCTCACTCCATCTGACCTGAGGAACCAGCTTGCACTTTTTTCTTGTCATCTGATGAGCGACTTTAGCTAGACAATACACACAATTTTCAGGACTGTCCCCTTTGCTCTAAGAGGCAGCTTTGCTATTTTCTGTTTCCATTGAAAAGAGAAATTGCATTGAGTAGCGTTTAAAGTTGCTTGGTTTTGGCCTGCTCATAAATTTTTTTCTCGTGCATGTGGAAAAAAATTGCAGAAGAGGTCAATTTACGTAGAGAAATAACAAGATTTTTAATATTTTGTAAATATATTGAAATTATGTAATTAATGTCTTTTGTGGTAGTGAAAACAGGGATTGGACAAATTTGAGTTGGGAAAACAAATTTAAAGAGACAGTTTTAATTTTGATAAAGTCATCCTTACTGATGCCATATGGAGTAGTACTGCTGCAACCTACATTTCAATGTGCTCAAATGTTAGTTTTAGTGAAATTTTTGGGGCAATTTTAAGTGCTGAACTAGCATAAACCAACATTTAGGCTTTAAATGCACCAAGCTCTTTGTCATTGAACTCCTCGCTCATCAAAATATGTCCTCTATTTAAAAGGAAGGTAGAGATCAACCAGAATGGAGAATTGGCAACTGCTGTGTCAAAATTAATTGCATTGGGTGAGTGGGCTATCAGAAAGCAGGCCCTGTATAGACCAAGCAAACCTAATACTGTCTTTTTAAATTCTACATTGTAAGATGGGGAGAGAGAGATTCAATAAACTTAAGGCTTTCTTTGAGAACCAACCCTGTTGGAACATGCACATTTCAAATAACTATTGGTAGTTCCTGTACATTGAATTGTACTGTAGTTTTAAACTATTTGTTTACATTTAGTAAACTTTGGTTTCTCCTGGTAATATTGTAGTTGGAATTGTACAAAGAAATTGGCTCATTTGTGAATCATGTATTTGGTTTTAAAACAGTTCTCTGCCTCCATGTTTTTAAATGAATTTTTAATTGATATGAAAGTGTTTGCCAGAAAGGTACTAAAATATGCAGCTTCGGTGAGATGTACATAGCAGACCTGACTGAAGAATAGAGGAGAAATTGAAAAGGATCTCTGAGGCAAGGATCTTAGGCAAAATTATTGACAAGATTATAGCTGATGAAAAATTTGAGAGCCTTTGTTGTGACTGAAGTAATGTGTAGATGAATAAAAGGCATTTGATGAATTTGGCTTCTGTCTTAAGAAAAAATTGAGACCTGGTAGAAGACAGTTGTAATGGACTAATCTGTGATGTTGATGTTTTCTCATCCTTGAATTACTTAGAGTTGGAAAAGGTCTTGCACAACTTTTAAAATTTTAAACATTGCAACATTTCTACAATTTTACATCCTGAATCCAGGAGTGTTGACTGTAGCTTCAAATGGGAATATCCAATGATATTTCAGTGGCTAAAAGAAAGAAGGGTAAGTGAATTTGTAGGTTTTGAGTTACTTAGGAGTAAATCTTGGAAACCGGAGGTTCAAGTGCGGAGAATGTGGTTACACATTGCTTATGGTATCAAAACAACAGGAAGAGGCTAGCTGCCCTCCAATTTGCACGGTACAGTTTTTAGCTGCTTTGTGAGTGCCAGTATCACTAATTGTTACTGATTTTTATCAACAAGATTCAGACATTATACTGGCTAAACTGAAATGCAGTTTTGTTTCTCTACAAACTAGCTTTCCTCAGAAATGTTTTGTTTTGTTTTGTAGTGGGTTTCCAAGAGCCTGACTGGCTTGGTGGTGAAAAGGATAGTGACTAAGATTTTGTAGGATTAGCCTGTTATTTGAGAGAGAGAGAGAGAGTGTACCGCTGCTACTGCCGAATAATTGGTAACATTGTATACAAAGCATCATACTCAGGAGTTGGCCAGGACTATTTATACCACTAATGGGGTAAAAAAAAAAAGTACTTGTACACTACTGAATTAGTCACTTGTTAAAGATTGAAAATGAGATTTCAGCTGAAGTCCATGTGGATGCAAGATAAGAATGTAGAGCTTTTGTAGCAAAATGTGATTTTGCTAGGATTTTTGTAAATCCTCCTCAGTCATACAGCATTTATTTGCTGTGGCCACAGTCATCCCTTGAAACCAGATGTTTTTCTTGCTTCTCCCATCCTTTGGATCAGGATCTGTTCCTGGGGCAGAAACAGTAATATCAACTGGGTTGACATGAGCTTGTTGGGAGTGCCTTGATTTTTGCAATTAGCATAACTTAATGATGTACATCTAGGAAGTGGAATAGTCAAAAAAAATTCTTTTGTAACTTTAAATTGTAGATTGCCTAACAGTAGGGGACTATGGTTTTGTTTTTTTTTGTCAAGTTTAAATAAGTGAGTTTTTTTCAAAGTTGGAAAAGTATAAACCTTATGTTTAAAGTATTTGTCTGACATAGATGTCGTGTTCATGTTGTGTATGAGACTTGAAGTCTATCCATATATTGTCATCGTAGATAATGTATTAGACTTAAAGGCTTACATGTTAAAAGCTAACCAAGGTGTAATCATGTTATTAATTGTATGTAGCCAATATGGGTATTACCTACAGAGCTGTATGATAGATCAGTTTGAACAGTCTTTTGAGCTACAATAAATTTCCAGCCCTAAACACTACAATATTGTCCAGCATGTTTTAATGAGTTCTGTAGTATTCGGTTTCTTGAGGTGATCACAGTTGCTGCCCGTTGCACTGCAGTGTCAAAATAAAAGAACCTTAAAACCAGCGTTTGTTTGTTTAATGTGTAAAATGGCTCAAATTTAATTGTTCCTTCGTATCACTTCCCACAAATGACATGCAAATCTATGAATATTGTATTTTTAGTGGGTTTCAATGCAAACATCCACTTAAAATGCATTTTTAAATGAAAATACGTAAAATGGTAGTTTGAATATTCTGGTAGAATGTGCATTATTGATGTCCATTACTTGAATTCTCTGTACAAACTTGTTGGTCTACATAAGTAAATATGTTTAATTCAGAAGGTGGTGCAAAGGTCAGCTGAGTCATGTGAATTGGTGATAAAGTCGACATTCACTTGCATGAAAATTTCTCAACCAGAATTTTCTCAAAAAGCTGTTGGATCCTTTGCCATTTTAGAGAAATATAAAACATGGTGAGAATGGAAATCAAAAGAGATGCAGATGCTGTAAATCAGAAACAACAACAGAAATTGCTGGAAAAGCTCAGCAGTTCTGGCAGCATCTGTGGAGAGAAATCAGGTAATGTTTCGGGTCGAGTGTTCTAAGGAAGGGTCACTGGACCCGAGACGTTGACTGATTTCTCTCCACAGATGCTGCCAGACCAGAGTTCTTCCCAGCAATTTTTGTGTGGTGAAAATAAAGTTGCATTTTTCTGATATTGTTCTCGAAATTATTCAAATATCATGATTTTTAAAAAACTGAAACATTAACTAGGTGTCTGTAGAAAGAGGAAAGTAGGGTTATCATTGTGTCAGAACTTATCGTGAAGTTATCTGATTAATGAGAATCCAAATGGCAGCACAGCTGTCTTGTTGAAGAAAGGAAAACTTGCCCTGACCCAATTTGTCCTACACCGACATGGAGCTGGAATTACAATATGACTAATTCTTAGCTACCCTACAGAATGGTTCAGCAAAATCGTATTGCGATAGCCAGCACTTGCTAGAAAGTGGCCTAACATTCTTGGGTAGGTGGGAATTACTGGCCTTGCCAATGATACCACCATCTGTAGAAGTTGATGTTTTAAACATAATTATGGAATGACTAAAGAAATGCTGAAGTGAGAAATGATTCATTTTAAAAACAGTAGTAAGAGTTCTGGGCCATGGAACGTTTTCTTATTTGGTCGGTTCTGATGTGACTAAAATGAAAGGTTTTTCATTACCAAAATGGAAGCCAGAGCCCAATTATGAAGCACCGAGCAGTTTGCTTATCTGTAAAGTGCAGTGATTTGTAAATGCAACTATATATACTGAGTGGTTTTGTGATTACAAAAAATGCTAGGACAAAATATTTGTAAACATCTCTCTCAGTCCATGATTTTGACAGTTTTCCATTTCCAGGCCTTTGCATTTGGAAAACTTAAACATCTTCTAACGTGAAGCTCAATTTAAGATCGAGGGTAATCTCATCACTCACTTAAGGTTACGATGGGCAGCCTGCAAAAGACTGTCAACAGAAACTGTTTATCATGTGAGAAATACATTGTAAAAAGAATGTCTTAATCCCATGTGAAGTTTTTTGTTTCAAGTATTGTACTATTGTCTTACTGCTGTGCATTATTTAGCTGTAAATAAATCTCTTAGCCTATACTCTCGTCTGATGGTGTGCTATTTTCCTGCCTTTGAGAGAAAGGATGAGCTGGAGATCCCACATGGTTCTGTTGTCAGGCGTAATTGTTAACGACAGCATACAATCTTATGGAACCTTAACTGATTGTGAGAACGCTGCCACCTTTTTATATTTGGCCAAGTTTTTTTAATCTAGTTATGGTTCTGTATTGCTTGCTCAGATAATCAGATACATTGGCAAGGAATACAATTCATATTATGGAGTTTGACCTAATCCTAATTTCAGTGGAGTTGGTGAGGGATTGAATGGCCTACTGTGTTTGTATGTTTACTTGGAGGGTGAGGAGGAGAAAATCCATAACTGAAACAATGCAGGAAGGCAGAGACGAATTCAACTCTACTGCTTTTACCACTGAATGAAAGCAACGATGGAGATATTGGCAATACCTCAACTAGTAATTGGGCCGGGCTATTGCTCTGGGGCCAATGACAGCTGGTTGGAATTTAATTTCAATTAATAAAAACAATTAGAATTGAAAGCTAGTCTCAATAGCAAATTGCTGTGAAACTCCGTTCTGGCAGCATCTATGGAGAGAAAACAATTAACATTAAGAGTCCAGAACGGCAGCCGCCCCTCCCTGGAATGGAATGGTTTTTCTGTCACCTTACCCAATCTGGCCAACCTGTGACACCACCTCTGCTTCTGTTTTGGTTGTATCAGCGTCACATTAATACAAACTCTGCTGTTTACATTTTGTTGTTATGAATACAACTAGCAACGTGTTAATGACCAGATAACGTTTTTGGGAAGTTGATTAGATGGTATATGACCTGATGTCCTGGCCAATAACTCCCCTGCTCGTCTTCAAAATCAGGATCTTTAACCTCCACTGGAACAAGCAGGTGTGGGCCTTGGTTTGATGTTTCATCTGATTTACCTGTTCAACTGAAATTCCAAAGCTCCCAAGATATTTAACCACATTTTAGGGGATTAGTATCAGTTGTGCAGTGGTTGGTCTTTTAAACACCTTTGCCAGGGAATGCCCTATGGCCTGTTGCAATAAAAGTTGAGTTACAGTAACTTTTTTTGAATAAGGTTGAAATCAGCCTGTGAATTTGGGTGAGAACCTTGAAACAGTTCAAGATCAAAATTAGCAAGGAAGGGAAGAGGAATGCTTTCACGGTGAATGTTGTTAGTTAGAACAGTGTTTTGGGGCTCAAAGTCATGTCCTTTTGATATTATTGAGGAGCATGACAAGCTAATGGTTATTCATTTACCAGTTTGTGTTCTTGTGCTGAGGGGGCACAGCTACTGTTGGACTGCTAATCCAAGTTTAAATTCATTGTTGGATATGTGCATATGTATGTTAGGAGAACGTTACCGTCCTCCCCCCACCCCAGCAAAGTTACTCTACCCAGGCTAGAATATGGAGTGTCTATTTGAGTGAGCTAATGATTGGGATGGGATGGTAGAAAACTTAAAAAGGAAAAATTTTGCTCCTCTTCAGGAGAGTTTTTAAACTCCACTTCCACAAGAGGGAGTGGTGCTCCCTAATGAGTTTAAAATTGTTCTGCAATATTTCAGTAGAATTTCACATCATTGATTTATGATGCTGGAGAGGGAGTTCATAGGATCTACCCTGTAGATGCCATAATTCAACAGTCGTGTTGCACAAAAAACCCTACATTTTATGTTCTTTCATGGGATGCAATCAGTGCTGGCCAGGCCGGTGTTTATTTTGCTGTGTAAACATACCCATGGTGCTTTTAGGGAAGGAGTTCCAGGATTTTGGTAGTTATGATAAAGGAAAGGTGTTTCCAAGCTGGACAGTGTGACTTGAAGGGGGGATTTGCAGATGGTGCTCTCCCACCTTGCAGCGTTTAGTAGATGAGATGATGGCTGCTTTTACCTGGATGGTGTCAAGCTTTTGAACTACCGATGAAGACAAGTGAAGAGCATTTCTGAGTTGGACCTAGCAAACAATGCTGACAGGTTTTGAGTTCAGGAGAAGAGTCACTTTATTGAAACAAACTTGAGTCTTAATGCTAATTATTCCGTTGAGGGTTGAGGAGAGTGTAAGATAGCTGAACTAGATTCTGCTTTTTACTTATTTTTATCCCAGCTGCTGAGTTGGAAGAGAGATTTTCTGTGGATTTTAATTCAAACTCAGACCTCAAACAGATGAAATAATCATAGTTGATAATCAATTTGTTAAAGTGTTGTATTAGCATACATGTGTTTTTCTTAAAGCAGCAACTATAAATTTCTGTTCAAGTGGTTCAGTCAGATAATAGGACTCATAGCTCCTTTCACTTTCCAAAGTACTTTTCAACAATTCTGTTGCTTTTTCATGTAGTTTCTCTTGTAATAATATAAGAAATGACTATCACCGGAATAGCAGGAGTGTTTTGCTGTGAATGTCTCCTTTATATCTGTGAAATGGACATTGGCTCCTTGGATGTTTCAAATCAGTTCTAGGTGATCACAATGATAAGAGCTTTCCGTTTTATCTTTCGTACTTCTGGTATTAGAAGAACAGTATGTGTAATTCATTGTGCATCCCTCCTACCTTTGTGCCAGATGTTCCAGGATCAAGTCCTCCTCTGGGACTTCTTGGCCACAGAGGGTACTTTTTTTTAAAAAAAAAGGAATAATTTACATACTTGTCATCTTGCCTAGGGGCTGTGCTAATCTTCTCTATCATTCCAACTTTAGTATATTTAATCAAACAGCCTGTAAAACCTTACGATCCATCTGGTGGTAAGTAAGAACAGCAGGACTCTCTCCCGATCAGCCCTTCTGCAGAAGGCAATGGCAAACCACTGCAGTTCTTCATTCCGGAACCGGAGGTCTGTGGCTCAAACATCAACCAAGGATGGAGCAAGATGAGACTGACACGGATCTCCATCAGTGGTGGTTTGTGCAGATGCAGTTTAGGGATCAAGATTGAAGTCTGGGATCTTCATCTGGTCTTTCATGAGAAGGATGACACAAAGCTTTTAAATGCTGTCCATAATTTAATTAAATATCGACATACAAGCTTGATCTCCTGTTGTAGCCTGGTTAAAGGCTGACAGATGGACGGAACAAAGTAAAGAAGGAAGTCAGGTGAGGTGTCTGAGCTGCCAAAGAACAGTACAGCGCAGGAACAGGCCCTTTGGCCCACCAAGCCTGTGCTGATGCGAGGCCATTCTAAACTAAAACTTTGTCGCCATGCGATCGGTATCCCTCGTATCTGCCTATTCATGTATCTGCCTCTTAAACATTGCTATTATATCTGCTTCTAGTACCTCTTTTGGGACTGCATTCCAGGTACTTACCACCCTCTGTGTAAAAATAAAACTTGTCTCTCATCTCTTGAACATTCCTCCTCTCATTAAACCTATGTCCCCTAGAAAATGACATTTCTACCATGGGAAAAGACTCCAACAATCACTTCATCCATGCCTCACAATTTTGTAAACCTGTCAGGTCACCCCCTCCATCTCCAAAGTTTAAGTGAAAACAAACTGAGTTTGTTAATACCCTTCAAACCTGGTACCTTTTTGCTGTACTCTTTCCAAAGCCCCTATATCTTTCTGGTAGTGTGGTGACCAGAACTGTATACAATATTCCAAATGTGGCCCAACTGAAGTTCTATATAGCTGCAACATGACTTGCCAATTTTTACACTCTATGACCTGACTGCTGAAAGCAAGCATGCCATATGCCTTCTTGACCACCTTATGCATTTGTTTTGCCACTTTCCGGGAACTGTGGACCTGTACACCTAGATCTCTGTTAATGTTTCCCTCCTGCATTAGACCTGCCTAAATGCATCACCTCACATATGCCTGCAAATTCCATCAGCCGTTTCTCCAGCCTGTCTATATCTAGCTGTGTCCTCTGGCAATCCTCGTCACTAATCTATATCTTGAATAGGGCACCCATTTTTAGCTGAATTTCCAGGTTCTAATTTCCCCCCCAAGTCCCCTCATTCCTCTCAACTCCCAATGGGTACTGGCCCAAGCATTCCTCATAAAATAACCTCCGTCATTCCAGGAATAAATTGAACCTTCTCTAATGTGATTATATCCTTTCCTAAATAGAGATCAAAAACATTCTAGACCCTACTTTTATATTCCACTCATAACTTTGACAACATACCATTTGCCTTCCTAATCATTTTCTGTACCTACCTACTATCCTTGTGACCCATGTATCAGTGCACAAACATCCTTCTTATACCTCTCGGTCCTGCAATCCCCCTCCATATGAATAATTTATTGCTTTTCTATTCTTGCCAAACAGAAATTAATTTTCCTACATTGTACTCCATCTGCTATTCTTTTGCCAACTCTCTTTAGGATTCTGCAAAGAGATACATTCCTTGCATCCTGAGCAATTTATCCAAGATTCAGTCACTTCATCCAAGTAATTGGTTATAAATAGTTGATTTGCCAGCAATGATCTTTGTGGCAATTTACTTGTTACATCTTGTGAACCCAAAAATTATGGCTACTCCATTAACAATCTCTTATCTATACTAATATGTCAACTCCTACCTTTTTTTTGCAGTAACCTTTTGATATGGCACCTTGTCAAATGCCCCTATATTCCAAGGTTCTCCTTTATCCACATTGGTTTTCCACTTCCTCAAAGAACCCTCAAACATATGAGTTAAATATGATTTCCATTCCATAAAATCATGTTGACTCTGCCCTGATTTCTATTGAGATTTTCTAAATATCCTGTTTAATCTCAATCACGGATTTCAGTATTTCCCTGTGACATGCCAAACTAACTGGCCTATAATTTCCTGCTTTCTGTTGTGATAATGCTATTACTTTCAAATTATTTTGTTCAGATTTTTATTTTGAAGAGAGGTTGTAAAGCAGAAACAGCAAACTGTCTCTAAGAAAGTAAACAATTTGTGAGACCTTGGGTTCCTTTTTAAACTTGGAACAATGGTAGCAAAATGGGTATGGCCAGCTCTCTCAGACCTTTGTCTTTTTTAGGTTTAGTTTTAAGCAGAAGCGTT